CAGCAATCTGAACTGTCCTGGATGCCAGCCCTTGTACAGATCTCAGCAGCAGCAGGGCTCAGGGCAGCGCAGCTTTGGCTCTGAACCACTTCTGTAAATCCCCTTCGTTCAGATCAGGGAGGGAACAAGCACGGAGGGGCCCCTGTGGACTGGCAGCTTGTGCTGTTCCTTGAGAGGGCACGAGGTTTCCAAGTTTGCTCACTCGTGATCTCTGACTGGGAGCCAGAGGATTGTTTTGTACTTCTTTCTTTTAATATTTTAAGTGATATTTTTACTGGAAAGGACAAAGGAAGCTCTTAAGTAACTGGCAGCAGGCTCTGGGCTGTGCTGCTGTATGATAGCTGTGACTTGGAATGCAGTCAGCACCAGAGGCAGATGCCTAAAATGTCTTAACACGTGACAGTACTTTGCCCATGGGCTAGTTCTGTACATTTATTATTATTTTTTTTTATACAGCAGTTGTGTGTGTTTATTACTTAGACTGGACTTTCTTTAATAAATCTGAATAAAACTCACTGTGTCCCTTGCCTGTTCTGTGTGCTTAATCTGCAAGTTCTCCTAGCCCACACTGGAGATAAATAGTAAAATTAGCAAAGAGCACTCCCTGCTTGAGGGAGTGCTCTTTGAGGGAGAGTCCAAGCCTTAATCTGCAGGAGAGGGATAACAGGACAAATACAGGACAAATAAAATCTCACCTCTCATACTGCCTTCCTGCTTTGAAGGACCACAAACCTGTTTAAAACTCCAAAGTTTCATCTATTCTCCGTCCTCTACTGCTCATCCTCAGTGGAGCTGGTTTCCTTGCTGCCCAAAAATGCAGAGGGAAGAGCTGCCACTTCTCTCCCAGGGTGCTGCCTGCTCTGGGCCTGCTGCAGGCAATTGTGGGGCAGCAGCGGGAAGGAATAGCTCTGCTAAAGGTGGGCGGTGTGGGGCAGAGGAATCAGCATGGCCAGAGGAAATAGGCACTGAAGGTGCAACCAAATGTCTCGCCACAGAAGCATGGTTTGTGAGCAATTATTCAATTTCAGGCAGAGTTAAATAAATCAACGTCACAGCCATCCCTAGCTGCTAGTGTGGGCAAGAACTGGCACGACTGGAAGGAAAAGCCGCCCTCTTCGTGGTGGCTGAAGAAGATAAAATGACTTCACCTCCATCCTGTTTGCTGATGCCTCTGCTCTTTTCAGCCCCCAGGCTGGGCTTTTTCCCCTTCCCTCCCGCTGGGCTGCCTCGACCCCATGGGAAGCTCGTCCAACAGCCTGCAGGGAGACGAGCCCACAGCCGGCCCTACAAAGCCAGCCTGGAGCACCCCATGCAGCAGCTGCGGTGTGGGGCAGCTCCAGCCCGGCTGTGGCTCACACCTGCAAGTGCAGGCAGGGGAAAGTCACAGAACAGGACAGAGCTGGGACTGGAAGCCAGCAGGAAGCACCTTTCCTATAACTGCTGGGAGCTGCTTCACCTTTATTACATCTACAGCTATTCCTGAGGTCGGACAAAGTCCGGTTACCCAGAAAGTCAGAGGAGATGAGGTTTCATTCATGGCCATTTGAGCACAGCTGTTTTATTTATTCTGCCGAGCAATAAATGTTGGCTCCCGGCCACATCCGGCTTTTGCACCAGGGACAAAGTTGCTTCTAGCAACTTAGCTCTGTCTGCTCTCTGCTCCTGACGCTGGGCTGTTATCTGAGCCGTGCTCGCAGCATTTTCAGCACTGCTGGGGCCACTCACTAGCGGCCCTTCTGCTGAAGGCTTTGCTAGCATCTACGAATTGCTTCCTCGTTTCAAACTGTGCTTAGAGCTAACTCCCTCTCAGGGAAAACCAGCACTTGAAGCACACCTGGGCTGGGCTGCTCTGCAGCGGCTCCCCACTGCTGGCAACAAAGCCAGCAAGAGCTGCGTTTCATCGCCTTCATCCTTCTGTCATCTGGCAGAAAGCCCCGTGCTGGCCCTCCGGCTCCACCTCCTCCTGGCAGGAACCAGCTCCCAGCACAGCGGGGAGCGCTCCTGGGGAAAACGAGACACCTTTTCCACTCGCACGTCAGTCCCAGCTCCGCACATCACAGACCTGTTCTCCCGGTCTGACATTTCCATGCATTAATCCGATCGCTGCTTCAGTGCCACGGTGAGAAGATTTAGGCCAACTGGGCTGCAGCTGAATTTGGTTTAGGGGTTAATTTTGCTACTGGAACAGAAATCTTCATGAATTAATATAACCCATTTTGAACCTCAACACAGTTCAAACTCAGGCCTCTTCTCCTAGCCCAAAATCCTGCTTTGTGGCTGTGCCCCTCCAGCTGCAGGAGCTAGACCCGAGCCCACAATCACATCTGAAAAGGCAGCACGATGGGCATCCTAGGCTCAAGACCGAAAAACAAATAAAAAAACAACAAAGTGACATCACTCCTCCATGGGACATTCCTCTCCTTGCACAAAGCCTGCAAGTCACACTGGCCAAACACAGCAGCGGTCAGACCAAGCCACCTCCCTCCTGGCCGCACGATACGCAGCCAGCCCTGACCTGACACAAGCTACGCTGCTTCTTAGGTTGGTGCTGTTCAGTGCTGCTCTGACATGGGAAAGGGACATCAATGTTGTGCTTTCATGCTTCTGTGTTCTTGTACCCCCGAAACAAAGCGATCCCTGCCGTGCTCAAGTCTCTTGTGCATGCAACGCTGTACCAGAGCCAGGGACCACGCATCTCATACTCCAGTGTTGCCAGCTCTAAGCGAGCTCAGCTTTTATCCTCTGCCAGATCCCACGGGCCCAGAAGCAGCAAACAATGCAGACATCACACAAGGACAGGCCCCACATCCCTGGTCTGTTGAGCCTTGGGCCGGGCCCCATCTCTGGGATGAGAAATTAGACCGGATTTGAGTCACAAGGCTGAGGAAAGGGAAAGGCAGAAACCAGCACATTCCCACTGTCAGAGCACACCATGGAGCCCATATCCTTTGTGCATGTTTGTCCTCAAGCATCTGGCTTGCCAATGAATCTCAGATGCATGTATGGGAACCATCAGCCATGTCTCAGCCACATGAAAGAGGAAGGTTTAGCATAAAGCTGGTCATTGCCTATGGCCTCAGAATGATTCATCCAAATAGAAAGAATGTGGTTTGGGTTTCGGGTTAATTAGCTGCAGATCTTAAAGAGAGACAAGGCAGGGCGGAGCTGCTGGAAGACTGGTGTGAGCAAGTAGCAGCTCTGTAGGCATTGCCGTCCATCCCGAAATCACGCCTTCAGTGTGAGAAGTGGAGAACGTGCATCAGAGATGAGTGACAGCGTTATCGATGATGCTGTCAGTCAAGGTGTTTGTGCACACCAAAGGAATGTCTACCTGGCTGCTGCAGCAAGAACCGAAGCCCAAGACAGATACACCCACGCTCATTTGAGCTCTGATGGCTGCGGCAGCACCGAGCTTCTAACAGATGCAAATCCTGAGTTTAAATATGCCCTTACAGAGCTCTGGGCTGCTGCAGCTGGGCAGTTTAGTTACCTGTGCAGATCTGTGCTGCAGGGCTACCTTGTAGCCACGTTACTCTATCCAAATCCACGCTCCTCAGTTCGTGTTAGGAACTCTTCCTACAGGTCTGAGGCATTATTACGGCTGCCAGAAGAGTCCACACATTTTACAACTGGGGAGAAAAGAAATCCACTGCTCTAGGAACACCTCGTAATAATTCCTGCCCTAGACTGTTCCCTGCAGCTGTCCCCCATGACAATGCTTGGATTCTGTGTCTTGCTGCTGAACAGTGTTTAGAAATGAACATGGAAAGTTACTTGCCTTGCTCTAGCGAGACAGCGAGATCTGAAAGTGCACATAGGTAGTGACCTCCAGTGGCCACTGCAGCCCAGTTCCTTGGAAGCTGAACAGAGCAAAAGCAGCTGTAAGAAATTTTCTCTTAAAGGAAGTGCAAGCAAAAGCGTATACATGTTTCAAGGCTTTGTTCGCTAAAACATCAGTTTGCTACTGCCCACAAAGACAGTCACACTTCAAACACTGGTGTGCCTAGAAGTTTTTCATTATTGGCATACAGTGGAAAAATAGAAAAACTTCTGTTTTTCCGAGTTCCAGTTTTTTGCCACAACACAGATGTCAACAGCACTTCAGAGACTTAAAAATGCAGACTAGAATGCAGACTACTCCCCTGACTCCTGTACACAGAGAACCTGAGCCCTCCAAAGTGCTTTGATATGCACAAAGACTTAGCTCTGTGCAAAGCAATTCGGACTACATCATTTGCACCACCACACTCAGAAATGGCTGAGGGTTTTCCTCAGTGGTGATTACAGGATAGGATTTTAACGATTAAAAAATAAATTAAAAAAAAAAAAATCACACCTCTTCCTTTGAGAACACCCATGCTAGTTCTCCCACTCTCCCCCCCAATTTTGCATCTGTTCTGATTTCTGGAATTATTTGAGGTTACAGTGCTTGGGTTAGCTTGCCAGTATGCCACAAGTGGGGATTTTACCAGGAAACACAACTTGCTGACTCTGGAGCTGGGAAGCACTGCACCAGCCAGAGGCTATGGGCTGGTACAGAGAGCGAGGGCTGCCAAATTGGCAGAAGCAGCAGGGAGAAAGTTTCTATTTTCGTTATACTTGTTCCAAATGGGAACCGATACTGTCTGGGACAGAGCCAGGCATGTCTCAGACTGGCACCATGCAAAGCAAGTACATGCTAATATAAGCAACTTCGTTAAGTTCACTCTTTTGCTAGTATGCTGAGCTCAGACATTTTGAGATCAGCTGATTCCTTCCTAGGGTGCTCACCTCACTGGCAAGATCTGCAGCTATTAGTAGCCACTTAACACCTCTCCTTTGGAAAGCTGTCAGTGTTCCTATGGCAGGTTATTTCTGTCCGGGGTAGAAAAGGAGAAGCACGTGAGAAGTGGTTGCTGCTCTGATCTTTGGTTCAAATAGAAAAAAACAAACCAAAACAAAACATATATATAACATACGGCACATATACGACTAACGCATATATATATAAAGGCAGTTAGTTTTTTTTTTTTTTTTTTTTTTTTTTTATTGCTAGGAGTTGGTTTCAGTCCTATTGCAGCTCTGAAATCCTTCAGTGGAGAAACGTTGCAGTCATTGTAAAAATCATCATTTGGTGTGCTAAGATCAAGTTTACAGTTAATCAAGAGTGCACAATTCAACAGAATATTAACATTTAACCATCGACTTTACAAATAAAATAAGACTACAAAGATGTTGCTACTGAAGTATCAACAGTAAAGGAACTATTTACAATGTTTACACCCTAACAAAGGAAAAAAACAAAACAAGAACAACAAACCCAAACACTTCCCCAACAAAATGGTCAATTTAACCATGAACCATGATTATTTATTAAGTCTTTACAGTGCAAGGTGGGCCTAGAAACCAGACCTAAGACTAAATAGCATCGAGAGAGTTCACAGCTCTGAGTGACATGCACGCAGTTATGCCAACAGGATCTACTTCCATGACAATTTCCTTTTAGGTACAAACAGCAGTGGAATTTGAAATAAACTTTTCTAAAGTGCTCCGATTTCTTTCAGTACAAAAATATAAAAAAGCTGATTTACAAACATGGCACAAATGGTACTAACCAGAGCTCACACGAATGGTATTTGATGTATCATGCTGATGGTTAATATTCAAGAGCTGCCAGTTGTTACAAAGATTTTGGGTCTGGCCTTGAAGGGGGAGGCAAAGGCTTTTTTTTTTTTAAATTTATAAACCTATTCAGCAAGAAGATCAGGCAAGAATACCACGTATAATCTGGCATCAAGGAGTTTTTTGTCTTGTAACTGTGAAAATTGCTGGGGAAGACAACAAAAATGCTCCAAATTCCCTTGCACAGGGGCACAACATACAGGAACATCACTGAGCACCACCAGGGGAGACTTAGCTCCTGTTCTGCTGAACTGAAAGTAGAAGTGAAACTAAAAATCTCTCTCAAACCTTTCCTAGTTTAAGTTTCATCTTTCATTGTAAATGAAAATGACAAACAGCAAACCTCATGTATGCGGGATCATCTGACTATTACTCAGAAAGACAAAACTGCAAGCAATTTATTTAGAATTACCCCTACCTTTGCAGGAATACTATTAGCTTGCTGAGCAAGAATCTCTAGAAGTACCAATTCTGCTGCTTCACGCTGGGAAATGATTAGCGATCTCAATTGATGGGACATGACACAGCTACAATCCACAGACAGTACAGCTGAAAACTAGGAAAGCATTTACAGCATGCACAGGGCAGATGTGCTCAGTACTAGTGAATATGGAGGGATCTTCAGTCTGAAATACAAAATGACCACAGTCCAAATGAGAAGGGGCAGAGGAAGTCTGTTTTACACCAGAGTGAAAACTGGGAATCAGAACCACAGAAACAGTCTCTACATTGCAACACCACAAGACAAACAGACAATGATTTTAAGGCTGTGACACAAAGCAAAGAAGAAGGCAGTTCAGAGCTCATGCTGTAATTTCCTCCACACCCTAGCTCAAGACAGAAGCTAAAAGGCACCTGGGAGGCAGAGTTTTGAACTGTCTAATCCTCTGATATCACTTGAAGGGAAACTTTTATCTGAAGTAAACAAGAGTCAAATGGAAAGGATATTACTCAGAATCAATAGCATGTCACTTAGCCCAGGATACAGGAGTTATTTTGCAATACAATCTGCTCAGAAAAATTGTTTTTCGACAAATTAGATTTGAGTAGAATCCAAAATTAGTGCACTCAACTACGGTGATTTAATAACAATTTCACAGATTCAATTTTGCAGAAGTGAAGACCCACACTTCATTTAGAGAAAGTATTTCACTTGCTTCCCTCAGCCTTCTACAAATAATTTTACCGTACTCTAATACAGTGAATTCCACACTAGTAATGAGATAGCTTTGTAAAACCTCTTCCAAACTGGGGACTATATAGGAAATCACGTAAATACCTTGTATGGCACTTCTATGATTTTGAGATGATGCAATCTCTATTCATGGTGAAAATGGCTTTCCTAAGACTAGCTGCAGCCAGACGCATGTTGAGGACAGGTAACTTTTAAGGTTATCTCAGTTACAGATTGAAAACCAATATTCCAAGGAACTCTTGGTGTGCTGAACCAACAGACTGGCCTGTAAAGGTCCTGTGTCCATTTGCTAACAGCCACAACTTATCTAAAGCACTGCTGACAATGAATATTAAAAGTTACATTTAAGTTAAAACATATTAAAGGAAATGAGACCTCACTGCAGACTTAATATGTTCCAGATGTTACTGTTCTATATCTGAATTCGTTCACTGCACAGAGTAAGAAGAAAAACGTTGCCAAATAAACCTCTTTGGTCTATAGAACACTCTCTCCCATACATTAGGACAGGCACAAAAAATTGAGCCAAATACATGTTTCTAAAAATTGTTTTAAAATATCTAAACAGAGACCTCCCTCCTTGGCTGAGGTGGTTTATTCCACTGATGCAACTTAGCTTTAGGTTAAAGCTGCTAAAAACTGGTAATTTAGGGCAATGGGGGCATAGAGTTTGCACTAGGAGTGGCCCAAACCACAGCATGGAGAGAACATACTGTACATTCTTGCTGCTTTGCTGTACGTTTACAGAAGGAATTACACGGGTATCAGAGGTGACTAGAATCTCCACATCAGCTGGCTGAAGAATCAGTCCTATAGAGCTGCTGAATCGATCAGAAGTTACATTCATTTTAAGATATTCCCACTATTTTAATCTAGGTTTTAGGAAGGCAAAAATACAATGGAGAAATATGTTCTAACCATTATTAACACAGTATCACAACAATGCAAAAATGACTACATTCCTCATACCGTTTTCTGCAGATCTAGACATTGATAATCTGTGTAAGCTCTGCAAGGCTCATGATTTACCAAGCAACACTTTGGTATTGAAGTGAAGTGTGTCTTATTTAATCGTAACACTTTGCTGGGGAGGTGTGATGGGGGAAGTATCACCAGTCTGATAACAAAACAGATAGTTTGGAGTTTTCCTCTCATAGGTAACATCACAACTCTTTTGAACTCTGTGCCTTGCTTCAGGTTGATACCAGTATCACTCAGCAAAAAGACCCTTAAATCCAAGAAGCATTACAACAAGGACTGCTTGCTCCCCAAGACAGAATTAGTATTTCATAGCTTATCATTTTGCTCTCGCACTGAGAGCAAACTGAGAGTTTGGAGATTTCAAGTTCTTGTCTGGAGACACTAACAACCCTAATTATCACCTCTTGGAAATAAACTCCATATTTTCTGCTGAAAATTTATGTTTCTTGCACTGTAAGTACTGCAATAATTTTAAAACCTTCAAGCAAAGTGAAGTTACTACCTTAAAGAACATTACTAACATCACATAGGCCCTGACCACTGAGACAGAGTAACTGATTCAATGGTTTGAAGAGAGATTGATAAACTGCCATTCCGAGCCACTGCCATGAGGCTGGCGCGAACTGATCAGGCATTCCATTCACTTGTGCTAAAAATCACTCCCAGACAGGGTTAAAGATACAAAATAATCCCATCAATCACATTCTGAAAGGTATTAACCCAAGTTTTTAAACTCTGAGATTCTGATTTCTTTAACACCGTAATAACGTCCTCTGAACAGCTTCTCCTGCGCACAATCTGACTGGTCACATTTGACACACATCGGAATACACGTCCTTCAGTGATGTGAGTAATAAAGAACAGAAATAAGGAGCAAAGTAATAGAATACAACAAATTACTGTGCAAATTACTACAAAGAGAAATAATGCCTTTTGAGCAGGGCTCTGTTAACATCATCATCATTCCATAATTAAGAACTGACCCATTTAACAAGAGGTATCAAAGCTGGTTTAGCTGTGAGCAGCTAAACCAACCCAGGTTTAGCTAATAGCACTTTTTTATTATTAAAAAAAATAAAAAACAAAACAGTTCTTATTCCCTTCATTCCTTACAGTGCTGCAGAGAAGCCTCTGCAGTAACAGCAGCTTTGATATCTTCTCATACTTGGAGTAAAGTCCCAAGAAGTTAGCAGACCAACGAAAGATGCAGAAGACTTGGGATGAAACGAGACAGTAATTACTGCATTCAAACACTTATTATATGTCTTCCAGCAAGGAACAAAATCCAGGTCTCTAAGTTCCTTCTGAACCAGCTCAGGAGTTTTGCTTAGGAGCCTGTACTGCTCTCACTAACTGGAGAGCCACTCAATGTCTGTAGAAGGACAGGCTTCCTCCTGCAAGCCGACATCCAATGAAATGTGCACCGAGTCCAAGTCTTGTAACTGCTGGGTGTTCTCGCATGTTCAACCCTCCTCAGCCACAAGCAGGTGGAGCTCTTGAACCTTGAAGACTCTTAAGCAGCTTACCTCGTCTTTCCCACTGTACCTGGCCACTGAGCATGCGCTCCACTAACTTTACAAAAGAAACAGAGATGCTAGCCTGGTTCCTGTGAGGTGGTATCACAACATTCATCGTGCCTGGCTGTAAGGAGACTGGCTTGCTAGTCAACAAGTTAACACAGAGAGAGCATAATCGCATAATCCATTACAGCGACCTTGCACCTGTGAAAAAGGGATTTAAAAAAATCTCAGCCATTTTGGGGCTTACTACTAAAATTTTTTACATAAAAATCTGGGAAATTCATTATCAACTACAACAATTTACCAGATGGTGCCCACAAAGAGTGTAGATACACCAAAGAGAGCAAATTGCAGTAAATGGCAGCATTTTAACATGCTCTGAATTTAGACACCCATGCTATGTGTCAACACATTTCCATGGTTGGAGAATTTAAAAGCAAATTACTACCACTGTGCCCTCATTTTGAGCTGCTGACAAAGAAGCCAACAAAGTAAAACTGTAATCCTGGTCTGGTCCTTGTTAGTATTAGAGGGGGTGAGGATAAAAAGACATCCACGTCACGTTGACCACTGGAGCCTGAGTTCTTGAATCAGTATGTCAGAAGACTGATCTTTAAATGGAAACAATTAGAAAAAAATGACATCTTCTTTGCTGGTATCGTCTTGTGCATTTAACGGAGTTGACTGAGAGGTCACCAGGGTCTGAACATGAACATTACTGGGCTTGAACGGGTTTGCTGAGGCAGATGAAAGTGCTTCTGGCTGACCATCTGTAGAGCCATACAGTTCTATAGAAAAAATGGAAGAAGACAGATTCATGACACTGCACGGTCTGACATCTCCACAGGTGTACAAGTTAGTCAAGAAATACCTGTCTGGAATGCAGTGGTCTGGCTGCTTGGGAGGACTGGACTTGCTGATCGCCTGCCTCTGAGGATACCCTCCTCTCGTCCAACGAGCCTAGGGGGAATCAGCTGCTTCTGATCAACAGATGCTGAAGAAAAGATTTGTAAAATCAGTATTTGACAATAGCAGCACTTCACTGATTTCACTGCTTCATGCTGAAGCCCACAATACAGACACCTTTGCATATTTGAGGAAGCTGCTATACCATGAAGAGTTGTTGCTTCTGTTGCAAGTTACTTAAATTTTCTCTTTAGCTGTTCAGACTGTGAGTACACTTTCCCTCTCCTCTCCCTGAGGATTTCCAATGCAGTTACTACCAGCTTGACAACCACAAATTCAAAATCTTGTATTATAAAGCACAGTAGAGAAAAAAATATCTTTGTCCCTAGCACTCAAATAGCAATGGCTATTTGCTACTTTTAACACACAGAACTGTGATGAACTTCTGTCTCTGCTCTCCATCTGTCTCACAGCTGCTCATCTGCAGAGTACATCGATCGTGGTGTTATGGCCTGTCAGTTTCTTACGTTCAACAATAAAAGCAATTCATGAAACGGTTATTCTGGATCCAAAGAACTCCTCTCAGTAACATTCCTTACATGTCGTGAAAACCAAATTCAATACCCAGTATTTTGCCACTTGTACAGAAAGTCCTGTTCCATTTTATTCTAAGATCTACATATGGGCATAAAAAGCACGCATCCCACTAATGCTCGTGAGAGAATAGAGACCAATATATTTGTGTTTTAGGCCTTTCATATAAATTTTGGAAAAACACCATTAAGTACTTTTCCACTGCAGGGATCGTTATGTAACAGCTATTAAAAATAAAGCTGGAGAGTTGCAGTATTAGAGCTCTATTTGCCCATTTACCCGTACTTGGTATTCAGGGTAAGGGGGTATTAGGCTTCATTTATATGCAAAAACATAAGTTTGTAATTCTATTAAACTTCAGGTGCAGAGACAGACTTTTTTGCAACATGCAAAAAACAGCCCCACTCCCTGGACAGGTTTGGCCCTGAGTCTGCTGGAGTAGTGTAGGCCCAAGTGACGTGCAGGCTTGTCAGCTCAGAATCCTATATAAAGCTAAGGAGATAATTTTGTAACTTTAAATTATAGGCCCTTTTCTCAGGCTGGCAGAAAGGCTATTTTTAGTGGTAAAGAAAAAGTGGTTTTTATTGTGCCTGTCATCGGCAAAGATCACTACTTTGGTACCTAGTAGTTAGCAGCAGAAATTACACCATGACAAGGTAACTGTATTTTTACTTGCTTCTATTTCTGACAAAATTAGCCCCTTTCAGCTCCACAACACACACAGCATCTCAGATCTGGCCTGGAAAACTGTATTTAATGACTGACTGGTGCTAAGAACGGCACCACATTTAGTGTTATTACAGCTCTGGACATAGTGAGAAGAGGTTAAGACAGCCTCAAAACATTTCATTCATACAGAACAAGCAAAACATTTGCTATTTTCTTTTACCACTACAAGTAGGTGAGATTTTATATCCAGGTTTACAAATGCTCACCATAATGCTGTCCTATTGGCTTACAGCACTCCTTTTCCAACATTATCTATCTGGGCTATATTTCCAATTCAACAGTACATGCACACTGAGCTCCTAACTTAAGGACTTCAAGAGCCCACAATTTGTAGCACATTAATTTCTGGGTTCTACATGGGTAGTCAGAGGTTTAAACTATAGTGTTCTGTCTCCTTGTGATGCTGGCAGTGGTTAGAAATCCATTTAAATATACTTACCCGAACTGTCTGTCCTGTGAGATGCTTTGCTCTTCCCACCTTTCTCTTTGCTTCCTTTTGTAAAAGCGGCCAGCTTAGTAGGGATCTGCTGCTGAACTGCAGCCGGTTTCTGTATCTGGTTAGTCGCACTCAGGAGATGGATTGGCACTTCGTTCTTCAGTGCAAGAACTGGACGATTCTCCAGGGTGGTACTGTCCCTACGAACCAGCTCTGGCCGTTCCAAGTAGTCTATTCCAGAGATGCTCACTCTCGCAGAGCTTTTCAAGACTGGCAGAGATGGTTCTACCCCTTCTCCATTGAAGCTAACGGAGTGGCTTTGCATCTGGCTCTACATGAGGAAAAAGGCACTCTAAGTCAAACAGGTACTTTCATTATCTCAGACACAACAAGGAGAGACCACCCTCAACTCTGCAAGCACAAAGCACTTTCTTGTGAGAAATGCAATAGGCTAGACCAACCTCAAAATACGCTGGCAAACAGAAGGAAGAGAAAAAGATCCTCAGCAACTCAATTGCTTAATATCACACCGAGCAAAGGAACACAACAGTGTACTGGGTCTCACAGGGATGGAGCTAACTTTCCCTGCAGCAGCTGGCAAGCTGCATTAGGTAATGACAGAATGGACAGAAAGCTGTACTTTCAGACAGTAATAAACAAGCCAATGTAATTGGACCCCAAAATTCACTTTTTGAAACATAAGAGATGTCTTTAGAAATCAACTGTATAGAACACTGCCAATGTAGTGCACCTTCTGTAATCACCTGCCTGCAATCGGCAGCTCCTGTATTTAAAAAAACTGCAGTCAGCCACATTCAGAAATAACTTATTCTCTCTTGTTCTGTCTGTTTGTCTGTCTCTTTTACATGCTCCTATTAGCAAATGTCTGGGTAGAATTTCACAGACACTGAAGAATTTCCAAGCCCTGATCACTCTGGCAGTAGCCAGCTCCAGCTACTTCAGATAATGGCACAAGTAGCTCAGTAAAAAACAAACATGGGTTAGTGCTGCAAAAAAGGGCAACCTTCTTTCAGAAGCAAGCATAAAACAGAACTCCAAGAAAAACTCTTTACCTGTCCCATTTCGGGGGAGAACGTGCCGGACACCGTGTTCTGCTTTTTCAGCTTCCTTAGCTGATCTAGACGCTCCTTCTCTTTCTCTACTGCTCTCTGAGCTTCCCGCAGCCTCTCCAGGTCGTGCTGATAGGCCTCTCGCTGCCTCTCTAATTCTTCTCTATCCTGAATCAACTTGTCTTTCAGCTGCCGAGCTTCCTCTTCGCGCTTCTGCAGCCGGACTTCTGTGACTTCTAGTTCCCTCTGCTGCTGACTCCTTTCCCGTTCCCAGCGTTGCTGCTCCAGTTTCAGCTGGTTCTGAAGTTTCTGTACATTCATCAGTTCTTCTCTCTGTTTTTCAAAGTTACGCTGTTTCTCCTGCTCTAGCAGCAGGTTGCCACGTGTAGACTGCAGCCGGTATTGCTTCTCCCGGTCTGCCATGGTGGCTCGCTGCATCTCAATGTAGCTGTCCTGCTGAGATATCACTGCCTGGAATGGAAATAAGAAGTCCAAAATGAGGCACATTGGCTCAAAAACAAACAAAAAAAACGAATAAACCCCCATACAGCTAAGCAAAAGACAACAGTATCTACCAGATTAGGTGACTGACAGCTTTGTCTTCAAGAGCAGATCTAACTTTCTAGCTTGTACAGCCCATCACTATTGACTATTGAGGAATTAAGTTTTGATTACATCTGTCAAAATTAGCATTTCTTGCATCTAGTATTTCTACTCTGAATCTGACAAAATTACTCAAAATATTACTGATTCCAAGGTTACAGTAAAAAATATCTAATATATGCAGACAAGTGTATATTAACATAATTTTAAAAAGAAAAACACAGAACAGAAGCTCAAAGTAGCAACAACTGTACTTAAATAAGGAGGAAAAGCGATTCAATCACATAAGACAACAGATAAAACGCCTCTTTCAAAATACCAGACACTGTTTCCCTGAGTCTCAGGTCTTGAATTCTACAGTTCACTCTAGTTTTAGGGGATATTTTCAAGGTAGCTTCTCTACAACTGCGTATGTTTCATTATATTTAATGCCTAACAGGCCTCTTGGAGAGTAGAATAGTGGTTTACCTGAAGACTGAAGAGCAATTGTAGCAGTTTTTGTATCCTTTGGACAAGCTGAAGAGGAGGGGAGGCAGATGGGATAAAAAAAATAAAATAAAATAAAATTTAGACACCGAAACAGAGCTCTGTTTCATTGCAGCATTAGACTTTTTTCTTTTTAAAATAACGGACAGAATCTTTAGTATGTACAAAACCACACACACTGGAAGAATGATTACAAGAGTATTCTGACATGGTAACATCCAATACAGCAATATAGAAGCACAACAAATTTCAGTATATTGGTCCTCGCTCAAATTGAGTCAGTGCTCAGCAAATCTCACTGGGATTCCAGGGAGCAATCCTCATCACCAGTTTTCTTCATATGAGCTATTTAATGACCACTTCCTCCCATGCTCTAGCACTGAATCACTACACAGGTACAGCACTCACAGGAGACTCAGAGGCAAGTTCTGCCAGTGAGCTAAGAACATACAATCTCTCCAAAGATGCAGAAAGAAGTAGTTAGCCAGCTCTTTGAAATGCACTTCTAAATAGCCAGAATCATCTTTGTTTTCTAATGGGACATTCAGAATGCATTTGGAGTCATAAGGTACAGGCTGTTTATGAGCTTGTGGTTCCACAGCCATTAAAAATAGTGGTCTGTTTATTTTGCCTGATATTATTATTATTATACAGCTATTTCCCATTAGGTTTCCTAACAGCAGAAGTAACATACCTGAGACTCTATGGTGGGCTGAATATCACTGTTGTCATCCAGCCTTGTTATATCACTCTGAAAAAAGACAAAAACAACGATCTGCACTAGAGATACTTGTTGGACATTGGTAGTGCTGCCAGAACATGCTGGAAGGGTTCACCTCACCAGGGAACATTGTTTATAGCTGGAGCAGAGATTGCTCCCATGCACGGAAGGACACATACCAAAAGTACTTAAATCATAGTACAGAAGGAGATGCACGGTCATTAAAGGTAACATTAAAGATACAGCATCAAATGAGCAAATACAGAATGAAATTATCATGCCTCTCAAGCAGCAAGCTATAAATCATCAACTCACCCCCACAAAATAGCCTTAGAGTCAAGTAATTTCACGGATAGAACTCTTTCACAGCCTAGCCCTACCAGACATTACAACTTTCAGCTTAGCAAGGGCTGTTCAGCAGCACTATTGTAATGAAGAACCTGAGGAAACACATTTACTTCATAAACAAGCCCAACGTACAGTTTGAGATCCTTCTTCTGCATCCAGTGGGAGGTCCTGGAGATGCACATCTGAACTTACTGCATGGCCTCTCCAGTCCCATTGCCTCTGGTCACCACCACTACTCTTCCCAAGACTATTATCTGGAAAACAAAAACAAAAAAAAAAAAAAAAGAAGAGTGACATGTGAGTGGTTCACCAGGACTGAGCTTGTGAAAACCCACTGCATAACAAAGCAAACAAACAAACAAAAATGTGACTTTTTGAAGTTAGAACCATTTTGCTACTGCATGGCTTAACCATGCTCATTACAAGTGGGAAAGTTGACAATAGTGAGAGCAGGACTGATCAAAAAGGTACAAAACTTGAGGAGAATGGGTTAAAAAAACAGTGAGATTATGTTCAAATCACATTATGATACTTTAAGTGAAACAACCACAATAGAGACTGAAAATGATCATCTGTGGCTACCAGAATTGCAAACTCCTAACATGGAATACTCAGGAGTAGAAAAATCTTATTCAAAGCAGCACCACCATAAGCATGGAAAGAATTAGGGGAAGACAGAGACTGTACTGTATAGAGCACCTATAATAAGACAGGCATATATAGCCTTTCACAGGCAAGAGAAAGGATTCCAAGGATAAACTACCAGTGAAATACAGACCTTTCTACTTTGCATGAAGCAAAATGAAGGGAGGTAAACAGTATCTAGTATTTCCACTTATTTCATCAATTAACTGAGAGCATCTGTGCAAAAAGGACGATTTATATTGTTTAAGGATTCAGCAACTCTTTAGTGGCTGCGCAGATACGAAAACTTGTTGCAATTTTTGTCATTCTATAATAAAAGCAAGCAGTTGAAGTCACATTTCCTAGGTTTTTACGTCAAGCTTATTTTTTCAAGAAAATTAAAATTCTGTGTGGAATTGTGGTAAATAGAAAATATGGGTTAAGGCAGCACCTTTAACATTACACCAAGAGCCCTACTCTGCTCTCTAGTGTCGGTACTGAAAGCGAAAGATACAGCATGCTGATACAGCATGCTAGGAATTTATTCTTATCCTCTTCTCAGGAACTTCTTGTGAAGTTCCCTTAATATCCTTACATCAGAGCCTCAATTAATTATTTTTTCTTAGCCCATAGTCAGTACAGAGAAGCATAGTAAAGAGCTAAGAAGCTTAAATGAATGCTACACTTTTTAACAGTGCATCAACAAACACAGCACAGTACCCCCACAGTCCCTCTTTCTTACTGTTGTTTGAAATTGAGGGACTACTGTCATATCCCCCAAAGGTCTCTGCTCTCCTGGGGAGTCCCGGTGCACAGCTATCTTCAGGCTGACAGGATCCATTTCCTAAGTGAGTGAAGATAAGGTTCTGGAGATTTTCAGCTAGGAAGAAGAAGAACGTATTATTTACACAGACAGGTCTACATAGTGAGACAAACTTATCTTGCTAACAAATTCGGGTTTGTGTATTATATATATATATATATTTTTTTTTTTCCAGCCACCAAGTACATTAAATATTGTGTAGTTTGAAAGACTTTCTACAGTACAGATGGGTTTTCCTTCACGACCTGCTGTTTACTACAGGGTCTTCATATTGCATAAGTGAAGATGACCTCCTCCTTGAACATAAGTTTGATAATCCAGCCTCAAATGTTGTTTTTTTTTGGTCAAACTAAAAATGATGTTTGTGGTTTGTGTTTATTCTCTTTCTAAATATGCTGTCTTTAGATAGGCTGTTTAAATCTAGAACCCTGATACAACATTACATTTCAGGGTTATTATGTTATTAGATCGCCTCAGTACCCATCTGAATAAACTAATCTGAAGACTCCATGGGTTGATCTTAAATAAGTAAATAAAAATCAAAACTGTGGAGGTCCTCTACATAAAAACACAGGTGCACTCTACCTCTCTTGGAGATTCATTATGAGTCTGAACAGCATTATACAGAATTATTACAAGATGATTTTTAAGACTTGTACTTAGATCAGTGCTTATCCCAACCTCTGCATCTGAGCGAACACATACACATTCCCACATTGTATTTACCTTCTACCACTGCAGACTTCAAAAGCGACTCTCCTTGCAGATTTTCTGAGATATCCCCCCGAAGAAGTAGCCTAGATCGGGTTCCTTGGGAATTGTCTTCAAACCCATTCATTTCAGACATTTCTAGATAAATCTGTTGCTTCTCAGTTAGACTTTGCATAATCAGGTCATCTTTCATGCTCAAACGCTCTAAAGGAAGAAACAAACACAGTTATACCTTCTAAATCACTGTCAAGAGAACAACATTCACTTTGGAAAATTACCATTTATTTCATAGTCGGAGCATCAGAGATATAATAAACAGCTGGAAGAAAAACTCAAGGAGCATGCAAGGCTTATTAGACTTTTTAAACTTAACTATTTCTATGCAATCTTGCAATACCTTGAAGGGCTTCTGAAGGAGCAACTCAATCACGTGATAAAAGATTAAGACAGTTATAAGTCACAAGGGATGTTGAGAAGCTGCTCATAGAATAGATATCTAAGTCATTACCTTGGAAATCTCTCAACCTTGCAGCTCTTGCTTCAGCCAACTTTCTTTCTGCTTCGGGTTCATTAAACGTTCCTCCTTCTTCATCAGGACAGCTGTAAAAAAGGGGACAGGAATGTCTGATTTACACATTAGAAGACTTAAAATCACGTTGGCATTCAACCTGAAGATTATGCCTAGGATGTTGTTTATCTTGTGTGTCAATCTTTTTTCACTTATCCAAAGCTTTGTTGCATTTGACATCAGTGAACCAATTTATTTTATTGTATTTTAAAAAAAGCAGAACAAAGTCTTCAGCTGGTTTTTCTAGCATCTCTATGAGCAGCTTCTTCCCAATAAATGTGCACAAACTGCCTGCTTCAGTCTTGCATTGACAGTTTATCAACAGTCAAATGCATTTTTACAATAAACTTGTACCGACAAGTCCTGTGAAGAGGAGGCCGATCAGCGACAAATAAAGCCCTCTGGCTTTTACTCATAATTTACCTTTCTACAGCTCTGCGGATGTGAGCCATCCAGGAATTTCTCTCTTCTTTAGAGCTTGTGTGGATTTCATACATTTCTGGTCCTTTTAAGGAAGCGCTGATTAAAAACATTGCCTTTTCCTCATTAGCTACCTCTCTTACAATCAATTTTTGTAACGAGATAACTGGTGGTTTAGAGTCCTGTAAAAGAAAATATGAAATGTATTGCACTACATTATACAATTCTTTGGAGTGTGTGCTTCTTAGCTCCCTTCTGTTTTCTTACTTATACAGGGCCACCATGAGCTATAACACTGCAACACCAAACTTTACCACTATGGCCTCTTCACATGACACTTTTGACACTTGTCTTTTTTTTTTTTTATATAAAAAAAAGTGAAACAAAACTTCTGGATCCCAGAAATCAAGAACAGTTTCAACAGAAGAACTTATTCAGGAAAAGTGATTCTATAGTAACTGGCTTGTTTATTACTTCATTTTCCTTCTGAATCTACCGTAACATCTACCTAATATTTCTATTTTTATTTCTTCTGCAATTACTATCACCTTCAAAAACACTCCAAGTAAAAGTATCAAATATGAAACCAATACCCACCACTGATGCAAATGTGTATTTTTGGTCCTTTTCTTGCAAGAGCAACAGTACATCATTTAACAGGACTGCCAGAATATCTACAGTAACAACAGAAAGAAAGAAAAAGATTTTGAAGCAACTAGACTGGTGCAGACTCAAAAAAAAAAAAAAATCACTTAAGTCTCCTGCGTGCCATGTGTTAGTGCATCAACATTTGCAATATTGGGCTGGCTTCTGCTTTCCACTGGGGTTGTCCAGGGTCAGGCTGGACATGTGCAGAACCAGCAGAATTCAAGTAGAGACAATTTAAAGCTTGTGGACAACTACACGGGCATCCTACACATGCACTCAAACAGTCATGATGGAACAAGTCCCCCTCAACAGCAGATTCTTCTGAAACTGCAGGTGTTTATAGTACCAGCTACTCTTGGCTGCATTGTATGTTCCATTGAAGCTTCTCCTTGAACATTTGAGCAATGAAGCTGTTAAAATACTCGCTGATGAATGCGGTTTTTATTTTCTGGCAAAACAGACATTATAAAGAACAAAGGTGTCTTGGGTTTGACACAACATAATTTTTCAAAGTGTGAACCAGAGCTCGCACAAGATAATGTCTTTCCACAGGAGACTAAGTCAGTATGACTCAAGGCTTTGTCATCTACCTAAAGACCTCCCACTTGAATTGGAAAGCAGATCAGACAGATAATAAGCAAACAGCATAAGGAACTTATCATGCACCATTATAGAGATGCTTATTGGACAAGCCAGGAATAGAACAAGTGCTATTTCCTCCAATATCCTATTAAACAAGTGGGTTATTGTCATTGTACTTTATGCTCAATCGATTAGTAAGAAACAGCTACAGAACAAAGCAAAATCCCATTTCCTAGTTGTACTTTTCCCTTTCCTGGTCCTTTACCTTTCAGTCGCCCTGATGCAGCTTTCCAGTACAGCATCCCATCGAGCAGAAGCCGCCTCTGTCCCATATCATCCTTCCGGAAGAGAAGCCCATTCTTGCATTTCCCAGATGATTTTAGCTCCATTTTATGCATAATCTCTTTCAGGCGCTGCCCTTTCTCACACTCATTTACCATGGCATCTACATGAGTGATTGTGTTCTTAATTAAACTAAGGGCCTGGGTCAGCTCTTCATAATCCTTAGTTCCAGCTAGGAGAGAAGGATAGTAATTAGTCCCATTTACAACTCTGGAATGCAAATATGACTCATTCAAAAATATTTTAACAGGAAGGTTCCATACTAAACATCTGACAGTATTTCCTAAGAGCCTGAGTTTAAAAATAAACAAATAAATGGATTCCTAGAGCTCTAAATCTCTAAGAAACTGATAAACTTAACTACTATGATTTTGTGGTTGTAGACCTGAAACTGAACACTGCTTTCAACCCTCTGATGAGGCGAGAAGGTTCTGTATCTGCATCTAGAACTGCATCTCCAGCTAACTAACAAGTGAGAAAACAGGTACAAAGCAGTCCCCGCCTGTCTTCCTTGCCTGAGGAAAGAAGGCACGAAACGTAGGAGAAAAAGGATGTGACGACAACTGTCAGGCTTCTAGGAAAGATTAAAGAAACTACCTTCTGTATTCTGAATAATGCGTTCCACCAAGACCGGGTATTTGGTGATGCGCTGTGTAACCAGAAGGATACACTCTTGAACACCAAGTCTCCTCACGATGGAACTGTTGCCGATTTTCTAGAAAACAAGACAGACCCATCACATCCATTGTATATATCACTCTTCTAACTCCCTCTCCTCTTCATTCACACATTTTCTGTTTCAAAACGCTTTTATACCATTAGTTATAGCATCACAAAATCATCTGCATACTATTACAAATACAAAACTCATGACAACATCAAAAAATTGATTCTTATGCTAGAAAAAAAAATATTTTAGATATCATTTTCAACTAAATGTTAACTAAATCTGAGGCCAAACAGAGAAAGTTCCAAGTCTGAGCTGTTTGCTTATTTGCTAACTGATTGCTTTCTATATAGGGTCGGTCCTTAACTATGTAGAAAAGTAAAATATTTTTAAAACCAGACCCAGCCACCTACCAGACAAATTATGTCTGCAATGAATAAAATGTGTTTATTTTACCACTGTATGTTGACCAGTATGTTTATGTACAGAAACATGTTTCTGTTTAGAAAGGGAAGATCATAAAGCATCAAAATTGCACTAGTTAGTCTGACTGCAGATACAAAGCAATCCTGACAGCAGAATATAGCACCAAGATCTTTGTTTACATGGGCTGAGGCTATTTATTTTAAAACTTACTCTGTTTACGTATTTAGTTTCTTGAAAGTAAAGGGTTCTCACTTTTAAAGACTAATAGTTAAGAAGAGCTGTAACTATAGAGCCACGTAGGAAAGTTCACACAGTATCACTTACTAACGACTGGAACACGAGAATACCAAGGACTGAGCAATGCCAGCTAAGATTCAGGTTACAGCCTTCCAGTTTGGCTGTGCTTCTTCAGCCCTTCCTATTAATTGTGCATTACACTGTACAGCAGATAAATAAACTGCCCTGGAGCCAATCTTCTGCTTTTGGAAAGATGACGTAGTGGGCAAAACTAGACTAAGGGCTCCAATTTTTTCTATACTACTTTATCAACAGCGTTTATCACTGATTTGCTTTTATCATCAAACCAATTTACAAAGACAGCCACACAGCATAGCAGTCAGTGACAGAGCCATGAACAGGACAAATGCTCTATTCCCCAGTCTTAAGGTGCTCTTAAGAGAAAAATGACCTGCCTGCCCCAAATTTAACACCTGTTAACTGCAGCTGTGTGCCCAAACAGTTCAAAAGATCTAAAATACAAGAAGCTAACAGCATATCAAATATCAAGAGTATGTCTCTTATGTTCAGCTCATTCAATATTAACAAAGATCTTCAAGTATAAAATAAAACTGAAAGAGGTCAAGTACACTTTGTACAGTAAGAATGGGAGGTTTCTGATTGTTGTTTACCTTTATTAAGTTTTGGAACTTCTTATGGTTTTGGAGCAGGTCTTTATAGTGACTAACAGCTTCATTGTGTCCACAGCAGAACACACCATATTTTTCTTTCATTCTCTCCCCATTTTCACCTGAAAACTAATTGGAAATATAAGTATTAAATATATAAATCATTAACAATAAATATACTCAAGACCCACATTGAACACGGTTATCTAGTCACTGATTTCTAAGACATCTCTTCAATATTTCAATTTCTTCTGTACCATAAATGAGAAATTTGTGCAGTGATATCTGAGAACTCGGCATACCACAAGATAACCAAATATCAACTGATTGCTGTCTTAATGAGAATTTATAAAAGTATTTCTGGGACTCTGCATTTAAAAAGACTGAGGACTGTAAAAGGTGAGATCACAGTATACGAAAGAAGCTGTGGCATCCACTCCGTATCAGAATGGGTGCTGAAATCAAAAGTAGCTGTAATCAGTTTAAAAGATCCTCCTTTTTTCGCTGCTCAGAACCAAGAAGCTCAGCATTAAGTGCATGACAGCTGTGTTTGGGAAGGATACCAGCAGTATATTACTGTACTTTCAGAACAGATGAAAAATAAAAACAAATAATTTGCAGTAGTCATATAGCAAATAACATGCATACACATGTGCCCAAAGAACATTTAAAGAACTTTTCATATTATTTGTGACTGGGTGTGATCCTAGGAGTCATATTCACACACTATACTAGGATGATAATCTTAAACAGTCTTCTATCAACCTTTACACAACCACAACTTTATCCTATAATTAGATTTTTAGGAATTTAAAAGGCTCAAGAATGCTGGTAGAATTTAATTCACACCTGTTTTACCAAGAGGTCTCCAATGTTCTGGATTATGTAATTTCGGTCACTGCCTTCTTCCAAGGACTCCTTTCGCCGCTCCTTTAATTGGAGCAGGAATTGCGCATGCATCTCCAGCAGCTCATCCACACAGGGGAAGAGCTTGTTGATGACCGCATTCGGGAACTGCAGTTCCTCTTTCATGGCTTTGGAGTACACCTTCAGCATTATTTTCAGTGTTCTAACATGGTGCATTTCAGTCTGCATTAGTTCTGGGCAAGGGGAAATACAAAAATACGGGTCATTTATACAGTGTGCAGTTACCAGTGAGATATAAAAGAGCAGGCTCTGAAAGTCACCATCTTCTGCAAGTGACCAACAAAACAGCTAGATAAACAACCCCCAATGGATAAAAAAAAAAAAAAGCCTACCACTTCCTTCTCACCAATACAAACCACTAAACCTCCTCTAACTCTGTCACACAATACATATTTTTAGTATCTGAATTTATGTACTTCCGAGTATGCTTTTCAGTAAAAATAACAAAAGACAAGTAACTCCCGGGAAATTCTGCTTTAATGCAGATCACTGTTCTACATGAAACATGAAATTAGTGTAATCTACACATATTACTTAGATGAATTCAGCATTATTCCTAACTGCTAAGAATTGGAGATCAAACTGTTTCTGGTATCAAGAGTGCCAGACAGGACAAGAGAAACAAGAGGTGGTAGTTCTAAGCTGCAGCAAAGGCAGCTTTATATCAAACATTAGGAATAACTTTCATTAGCATCAGAAGGTTAAACATTGGAGCAAGTTATGTAGAGGACCTCTGAAATCTTCATATTTCAAAGATTTTTAATAGCAGACTAAACAAATAGCTGATGTCTAGGTAGAGCTGGTTATATAATAGCAGACCAACACTGAGGACTATATGACATCTTGTCTCCTTACAGCCATATTCTGTTATTCTAGATCTTGCTAGAAGCAAGCTATTCTGGTGCTGTCCATAAACTTCTTCTATAGTATCACATCACTATCAAGAAAAGAATACAACGGTAATCAACGTGAAGTTCCTAAAGTAAAAAGTTTTAAAGAAATAATAGTGTTCTTACCATAAATGACATCTTGCCTTTTTATAACTTCTTTCTTTTGCCTCTTTGCATAAGACTGTTCCACTGCAACGCTCCAAGACTCTGCCTCAAACTCATGAGCATCTGTTTCTATTTCACTTCGGAGGGATATAGAATATGCATCTAGACCAAAAGCACATTCAATTTCAATAATTAATAACTTGTGTCCCAACTATATCCCTCGTTACCATCATTAAAAATACGAAGAGTAAATACATCTCAATTTTACTTTAAGGCTGTGTAAGAAACAAAGTCCTGAAAAGTACAGAAGCTTCCATACCTTCCAGAAAAATGGAGTCTGCTGTTGAAGGTGCAAGTGAGACAACATCATCTGAGGTCTGCTTAAATTTTATAAATCCTGAATCCCCTTCATCCATGTCTCCTGAAATTAGTCTAAATGACCAAAGAGATTAGACAAAGGGACCCAAAGAGAACATTAAAATCTTTTAAAAGTTGCTTGACTTAAATAAATAAAAGCCAACTACTTTAACAAGCATCTTTCCTATAATACAATACAGTTAAAATAAATACATGAAGGCTACCCTTGCACTCGCACTTGAAACATTCAAATCAATTTAGCAACTTGATCATTTCAGTATTACGGATTTAATTAGAGCAGCATGAGCAAGCATGCAACTCCTGGTATGACATTTGAAAAGACACATCACTTGCTGTCAAGCCTTTGCTACTCCAGAGTAAAAAGGGTACTTTCACTGAGAATGGAGCATAACTGTGGAACACGAAAAGTAAAAAAATACAGAAACCCACAGATAGCTTTGAACTTATTTTCAGCAAGGTATCCTGCAACTTAAAACACTGCTGCCTCCTACGCTAGTCAGAACCATCACAATCTTGAGTAAGTGATCTCAGAAAAGATTCTTGAACTTCAGCAAGTCTGAGGACAAATACAACCATGAAAAAGATATTCTAGACAGGTATACTCAAGCAACCCCCTATACGATATTTCTGTGGCACAGTGTAGAGGAACTAAAGACAAGGTGCTAATTTAAACCAAAAATAAAGTTTACTGTTTAGGGGATATTTAAAACAAATTTCAGCATTAAAAAAACTCAATGAGTTTCTCTTAAGCTTGAAAACCAATGCAAGTCTTGTTTTATTTTTAATTGGTTTTCTTTTCACATGGGGAGGGTAGGGGGAAGATGCAGCAGAAGCCAGTGAATTAGAAGAGAAGTAGTTTACTTACCGAAATTTACTAACAGCTTCAGCAGTGCTCAATGAAGACTGAGAATTTCCTCTCTGGGTAATAGTCATACCGAGATTCCGTGAGAGTACTGGGGTCCCATCCGGTCCCAGGAGAAGACTTCGGGGCTGCTCCTTCAAGGAAGCGGCTAGAGAGGCAAAAATTGAATTGGTACTCAGAAAATGAGGCGTACACTGCAGCTCGCCTGCTCTCAAACCTCTCTCTGACTGTGGACGCAGAACAGACAGGATCTTGGATGTCAAAAGCTCATTGTCCAAAAAGACATTCTCATTCCATTTTCGTGAAAAGGAGCCACAAAAAGACAGCTCAGGATGAGCTGGAATCGCATTGCTTCTGCCGCTGCTTTTTGAATTTGTATTCCCCATGCTCGCTACTGGCTGCCCTCAGCCTTGGCACAGTAAAGTGGCCCCAGAGATGCACTGTTTTTATACTACCTGTGATCTTTCTAGAAATGTAAAGCTGCCACTTAACTTACTGTATTGGCTAAATCAGCAGGTCTGAAGTGCAGGAAATTGGTCCCTACTGTGCCCATTTAGTGCGGAAATTGCAAAGTATCTTCTCCTTTAGTAAAACACCAGAACCTACACACAATTATTCACACCCTACCGTATAAGGGCACAGAACATTTCATGGCAAACAAGAGAAATCTGAGATCACATAAAACCACAAGTTCTTTGCAATGCTTATTGCTACACAGTGATTTATAACTGCATGCACACACACTGAACGTAATAGATACCAGAGCTAAATTTAATTTTAATACTGCAGCTCTTTAATGCTTTTTAAATCTAGATGGACAGTGAGCTGGAAAGATATTTAAAACTTTAATCACTATTACACAATTCATGGAAGCCTGTAATAGACTTATAAAAAATGGATACAATTATTTAGTACCAATGTCTGTAATGAATGATATGGAACAGCAGACAAAATATATCCTCTCAAAAAAGGAATTTCAGGGAAGTGAAAGATGAAGAAGCAGCCAGGCAATCTTTAACACTTATCACTGACAAGGTCTGCAGGTGCCTTTCCTTCCAAGTGCTTTTAAGGACATGGGAATGGAAGAGATCTCACGGATCCCTGAACCCAGGACTGCCACTGCAAGCAGGCTTTCTCTTAATACCCAGACCAAACTCCTCTTCCACTTCTGGTCTGGGAGGCTGCTTCAGGAGCATGTTGCAGTAGCAGTTCAAGGGTGTCTTCAGTTCCCAGCCTAGGTTCACCCATCACCAATTTACAACTTTTCTTGTGACAATGCCAGTGTCTATTTGTCCCCCAACATTCCTCCTCCTTAGTCTGCACTCCTCAGCATGCCTCCATCTCTCCTCCTCCATCTGAGGAATACTCATCTCTCCCTTCACATTTGTTTCGTTCTACCAAACACAGCTAAACCAAGGTATTCATGTTTATACTCATAAAACGTGTTTTTCCAAATTTCTTAATATCCCATACTCTGCATCTACTTGTCTCATTTTATCTTCCTTGAAGCAGTTGACGAGAATTGTATGATGGCTGCAGAGAACATTTCATCAATGCTATTTAATACAATTATCACTGCATCTTCTACCTGCTAGAAATACCTCTCCCAACACCTATTCAAGTCCAAAACCTTTTGGCTATGCACACAGCTCATTCTCAATCTGTACCAAATTGGGTAAACATGGATATATTTCTTCTTCCATCATCCAAGTGATGAGCTTCAAGTTCATCTTCCCAAAAAAGCAGACTGAGCGGATATTGGTAAGATTGGCAAAGGAAGATTTCTTGAACAAAGGCTTAATAATAAATGTCATCCCACTTCCATTTGTGGAAGCACTGAAATCATCAGCCATCAAGTTCTCTTTCTGTGCAGCACAGCCGAGAACATAAAAGGTTTGTTTCCCAATGACAGGCCAAATCTAAACATTTCCAGATGCAAAATATGGGGGAGGGCACAGTTTGCATCTTCCCTAAAATGTGTATCTCTTCGATATTGATGCCCTACCTTTGGCTGTATTTTTGCTGGGCATTACAGTGTGCAGTGTTATACTGGGGGCAGAGACAGAGCCCACGCTCTTAGATGTTCCTTTAACTTCCATCTTCTGCTTTTGACTATGGAACATTAGTAGTGGCTGCCTAGCAGAGCCTGCACCAACAAAAAGCCATTTTCTGAGTTCAATTAGCACTGTCTGCACACTGCTGAGAGTCCGTATCGATCGTTGTTAACCTATCACATCAGACCAGACTGTATACCACAGAGCTGTTTCAACGACAAGCCCTACGGCCAACTTTTCCTATTTTCATTATTCTTTATTGTTTCCTATTTTAGTCTCTGTACTTTCCCCTTAATGCACAAAACCGTTCTTGGCCATGCAATCAACCACTTACCTTCTTATAGCAATTATTCCCCTTGTGCTATCTGTTAAGAATTATTTCATAAAGAAGTACTGTTTGAAATGCAAGCCAAACAATACCTAGCAAGCACACATGCAAAAGTCAGAGTAGTATTCAGATATTCACCTCAAATGTGTTTCTTATAGCCATCAAAGCAACCAAACAGACTGACTGCAAGGGAGAAAATAATTCTGCTCTAGTTACAGTCACCTCAGAGCCCGAGAAGCCTATTCTGCTAGGCAGGCCTCGAAACATCTACCAATTAAAATGCCATTTAAAATCTTACAACTGTAACTGTGATGGTCTTTTCCAGTAGCAAAAAGCTATTTCAAAGCCCATGCTGCAACAGAGCTGCTCTTTTCTTCTCTTTGCTCCCAGATCCCTCTTCCCACTTCGTTTTAACAAAGATTTATGTTCAGACCATTAGTGCTAGCTTGTCTTAGAGATTTCTAGCAACCACTAGCTGCAGGCAAGTTTTAAATAGACAATTATGAAAATCTGATGTAAAACAAAGTTCACAGTTCTAGTCTTTTCAGAGGCCAGAGAATAGACAATCAATGAGAAACTAGCTTATTGATCCCTTTTCACCATGATATTTTGAGGTTACACAGCAAGAAGGTATAAAGAAAAATAAAAAGATAAAAAGATAAAAACACACAGGAGATTGCTAGGAGCCTCTCAGCCATTCCCAATAGAAAAAAAATGAAGCCATCTTATTAAAAGAGACCTTTTCTATACTTCAATAACACCCTGTGTATAGCCTTTAAAACATATTAAAGAAAAAAATACAATTGAACAGATAAGCCTTGAGCACAGAAATCATTCTTTAGTACAAACCTGGGGAAATGCACTGGGACGAACTTTGTGGAGATCCAGAAGGTCTGTGCTGCAAATCTTTCTGCTATAGGAAAAAATACAATCCTGTTACACACACAGACCAACTTTCCAGTCCAAAAGGAATCAATTTTTTCCTGGCATATAACCCTAACTGTAAGCGAAGCTGTATTCTGACTGTCTAAAAGATTTGACACAATAACAGTTTTGATTTTCCCACATTCCAGAAGCATGGCACAGACATTAACTTCACGTATAAAAATTCCATCAGATATAAACTAGACTGAAGTACAACCAAAACGAAGTTACAGCTGGATTAAAGCTATGACCATAAGTAATTTATTAAAGGAAAGCAAACCCTTGAGGTAGACAGCCTTCACCTCCACTTTCTTGCCGTTTACCTTAAAGCAATACTAACTAAACTAAAACCAACCCAGCCAATGCTTGGTTTCAACCAAAAATAAGACTGGCCAAAAACTGTCTTTGTTAATCTGCACAACTTTCTCATTCTTACACCACTAGGATATTCCGATTCAATAAGACTCCATTTATCTAAGATGCAGACAAATTATATAAGTAACACGGTCTGTAATAAATGGCTTTCTGGGAGTCTTGCTTCACTCTGAGGATCTCACTCCTGCCTTCATTCTCCCTATCATTTTGTGCTGTCACTCTCTCTTTGTTCTCTTCAGGAGCAATTTGTAAGACTTGAATTTCAATTCAAGTCTGAAAGTTTGGCAGATGGTAAAGAGTAGAAATCAAATATCAGAACATCAGAGCAAGTGATTGTTTATGCTTAAAACAAAAAATGCACAATGCATTGACAAGTTGGGAAAAAGAAAAAAAATATATAAAACAACAACACAAGAACATTTCTACACCCTAAAGAGTTATGTTCTAAATCCCCAAAGGCTGAAAATACTTCCTCTAACCTCCGACTGCCCAGGTTTGAGCTGTTCTGCTCTCTCTTTTCCTCCTCATAGTACTCCCTAACCTGCTATCATGTTCTAAAATCAGAGTCCAGAATCATCAGCAGTTGCAGGTTAAAACAAATTAAAACCCCCTCAAGTGTAAGTAGTTATGAGAAGAAGGAAATGATTTTTGAAACTAATACCTGAAGAAAAAATGACAGATAGTATCTCAGACCAACCCATGACCTTACCTGCAATCACAGGCACCATGGTGACACAGATAAAAAATGAGCAGCTTGGCAAGATATAAAGTTTATCAGAGGTCAAAAATGAAAACACTTGTTCTGCATTGCTCAGCTTGTAAGTAATATTGCAACTATCATAACCAAGTTCCTCTGCACCCCTCACTGTCAGCTTTGAGATGGCACAACCCATTAGGATAAAGCAGTGCAAAAATCAGAGGTACCAAATAATAAAATCGTGGTCCAAAACAACAACAACAACAACAACATGATGACTTTGAGCATTCTTACAAGCATTAGTCACAGCTCTGACAGACACGAGCAATGTTAAGTAGTTCTCAGAACAACAAAAGAGTTTCATTTCTCTCTACATACGTTGTCATAAATTCCTCTAACAACAAGCGAATAGCTATTCAGTGTCTGAAGGATGTAGGGCAAGATCCTCTACTGACTTAAATCTGTACACTCACTCTAAATTAAACTTACTCTGTCAAGCATTGTTATTTATAAAAGAACAAATTTTAAAACCCACCTTGGGTCTGATGCTGCTGCATTCAGCCAATAAACTCTTGCAGTTCTTATGGACATTCACTGCACAGTCTGAAACACAGGCACAAAAGAAGTCAAATTATCCTTGCCATTCCCATCTAAAGAGAGACCTAAAAGATCTCTTAGTTTAGAAGAGGCTCAGAGCGATCCGAGGTGTTTCAGTGAGCACCCTTGTGTACGTTCTTGTCTTGATTTTATGCCAATAAGGTAGATAAAGGTACCTTACACCACTCTCAGCAGCTATTTTTTGATCAGAAGACATATCTAACAGTGCTGTGTATTAGCTCCCTGTGCTTAAAGACGCTTTATGCAACAAGAAAGAATATGCTAGAACACGGGGAAATGCCATAGAAAAGCCTCCAAACTGCAGATGAATCTAAGGACTTGATTCTCAAAGAGACCACTTGAAATGCAATCAGCTCGCTGATTTCCAAGTGGCGTTATCTTTGTCCAGGTGTCAGGACAGAATGTTGAAAACGGGCAGAAGAATCAGACTGTGTTATAACCATACTTCATTTTACAAAAACATATTTCATCTTCCACGCTTTTAATGAATCAAACACACCTCAATTAAGGATGAGAACAAGTATTTGAATACTAGTGAATTTGGCTTCCTCTTTCTGCACACACACAAAGTCTCCTCGCATTCCTTATTCTTCTGGACAGCCTCTCTGAACAGGGAATTAGAGAACAGCAGGGGTCAAGAAAACAGCAAGGAGGAGAATGAGGGACAGAGGAAACCGGAGGTCACAGGAACCTGAAGAGGCTGAGACTGAGATTTAAGAGCAAAGATAAATACAAAGGGTCACTTGATTTATATAAATAACAGATACCTAACCTCAGAAAACAGAGGGTGTTTTTCCATCAGTAACTGGTGGCATTAGGTCTTACTCAGATCAAGAATGTGGGGAGGTGCAAAAATGAACTTGACAGTTATTTCAGTGAGCTCTTCTCAAGCTGGAGAGGCACAGAAGGCAGTACTGAGGAGGACAGAGCTAAAAAAAATCCAACTGCAACCCAGACTCTTCCCTTCCTCATCTGATCCTCCATCCATTTCTTTCTCTTCCCTCTCCCAGTCACTGGAATGGTGAATTTGGCAGGGAAACGCAAAAGGGCTACAGCTCTGCCCAGTGCTGAGAATGTGTGGTCACCCACCTGGGAGGTGCAAGGTTTTGGGTTACCTTGGCTGAATGGGGACAGGAGCACCACTGCCTGTGCTAAAGGTACCACAGCGATGGATACCACAGGGAATGAGGCAAACCCACTGGGGTGGGCTCTGGGCTTAAACCAAGCCACGTGGAATGAGGTTGAGGGTGCTGGGAGCATCACGTTATCCCACATCTGCTTGCTATGGGGTCTGCTGCTGGCCCACGGACAGGATAACTGAAACGGGGGCCTCATCCAGCAAAGAATCATTCGAGACCAAGAGGCTCGTAAATATCATAAACGGCTCTGTTCAAGACTGAGGATAGTGAAATTAATGTATTGCATAATGATAAAAATAAACAGTAATAAGAAGAACACTTCCCTTATTAATGAGATGTTTTCCCAAAGGCTCCCAGAAGCCAATCTGCAGGCAGTCACACAGGAGCATTTTATTGGACAACACATTACAACGCCCAAAAGCCCAACACTGATTCACGCTATGCAAGAGGGAAATGAACAGCTGAAAAAGGGCATACGGATGCATTTTCCCCCAGCTCTAATACCTTCTTGTGGATCAGATACTGGCTATGTCCCTTAAGCGTCTTCCAGAATTGGATTCCAGGACAAATCTATGACTCACCAAATATTATGAGTGTTATGACCCTGACCTTTGGTCTGGAACGGTACTGCCCAATAAAATAACTCTTAAAAGGCCATTTGCAAACAACCACAGCTACCACTTAGATATGTTGTGATTAATCTAAGATTTAACTTCTGACTTTCCCCCCCCCCCTCACATACACAGCATTTTGGTGTTTTGAAATGACACATTCAAAAACAACTTTAAAACAGCTAGGTTCAGGCAGGGACACCTTTTAAGGCTGTTCCTAACGATACAAGGTGTTCAAGTACTGTTTTAATTAAGGATATATCCACTATCTATTAAATTCAGACAGCCGTGGACAAAACGGTTCTCATGCGAAACTAATCATTTTTATGTTTTCAGATGTCTGACACCTCCGAGATCAAAGAGAACCTCAGCCTGACACCATACAAGGTTATTACTGCCTCTTGAATTGACAAAGAAAACATTCACATCTGAACAATTTGCATATGAATGATTAATACAGAACATAAAATCCCAATTTAAACAAAGATGCGCAACATAGTAACTGAGAAACGTTTTAGGCAAGTACAGCATTCCAGAAGAAGCAGAGTGACTTTGTGATAAATCTCCTTAGGGAAGAGGAGGAGTCTCACTTGAACTTGGAGAAGTTTCTGTATTTGGTAAATCCAGGTCATGTACCTGCAGGAACTCAGAACTGATTTAACTTTGTCCCACTGGCTTTAGTGATCGGTGTTTATTTTGCTAACACGCCTTGCCATGCAGGGGCAGAAACCCCAAAGTGGAAGGCTGACAAGATACTTCACATTCGGAACCAGAAACAGCCCACGTGAGAGAGCAACAACGCTGAATTATTAAGTTGCAGCTTCCCTCTTGCTCTCCAGAACCAACCAACCTATGACCCCTTTCTTGTTGTGTCTGTTTTTATTGTCCAAGTGTCACACCGGGGGTGTGGTGGGCTCGTGTCACTCCCAGCACTACAAGTTCAGGGGGGGGGTTGAGGTTTTCTTTAAGCAACAAATCCCAAGCCGGAACAAACGAACAATGGCTGTTTGTTTTTCTAAACAATACCAAGGAAAAATATCGTGTTATACTAAAAGAAATATGAGCACCATTTCAATTCTCTCATGCTCAACCCTTCCCCCATTCTACAGGAACACTACAGGACTGAAGCAGCAACTATGACAATCATAAAAGGTATTTAAAATATTTCATAGGTAAACATTAGGTGGAACTACAACACACCATGCCTGATGGCTCCTGCTTGAGAGCCACAGTTCATGGGTTTATTTTTATACCATACTGATGAGAATCAAACTGTTCTCTTTATAAACTTATAAATAAAAATAAACAAATCATAAGGACCACTAGAAAACACTTTGAAAGGGGGATGCACCAAACAGCTGGGAAGGAACAGTTCCTTCTCTTGGTTTTACAGAGAGGACACACAGATACCATAATAACACAACCACAGCACCGAGTCTCCAAACAACATTCAGTAATTTTGCTTGTTTATTAGAGCAGCGAAACCAAACAGTACCAGAAACGCTCAGAAAGCTATTTCACTTCTTCATTTGTCCCTGATCCCTCGCACATCCCCTGAAAGCTGCCACAGGCCTCATATCGGACGGGGTTTTCCTCTCCATCACACAAAGCTAACCCCACACCATGCCTGGGTCAGGGCATATTTCAAACCGCTCACCCCAGCTGTGGGCAAGGAGCTGTCTGCACTTTTCACCATTTGTTTCCCACACCGTATAAAAGTATTTAATGTACACGTTGGGCACTTCTCGCTGCTGCAGCCCCACCGGTACAGGTAGCACCTAGGAGACAAGGGGCAGGATTTCTCCACCACAGCACGGCGATGCTCAGGCCTCCCCGGGCCACACGCTAACACCTCACCTCCCTCAGCCTTTGAGAGGTCCCTGAGGTGAAGACCAGATCCCAACGAGCTGCCTCGTCCCCCAGATTAAGCCTTGAGCTGCTCACGCCGGGGCCAGCTGTAAACCCCGACGGATTTATCACGGAGAGGACGAGGCGAGACCTGAGTTTTCCTCCACGTCCCCTGACGTTGTGTAACTCTGCCCTGCTCCCCTCCAGGGCTGCAAAACCCCAGCCCAGTGCCGCAGCCCCGCTGAGGGCTCTGAGGGGACCGGGGGTGGGGGGTGAAGGGGGTGGACGGGGACCGGGGGGCGGCCTCACAGCGCCCTTAGGGAGCCCGGTGCCGGGGGGGGGGGAGCCGGCATCCGAGGCTCGGGGGGGCGCCGCCGGGCGCGCTGACAACCCGGGCTCTTACCGGACTCCCCGGGGAGCCTCCGGTTGCACTCTCGGTCCCGGGAACGGCCGCCACAGCACCAGGAAACGCTCCCGTGTCCCGGAAGGGAAAAGAGATGCGGGAGGACGAACACCTGCGCCTGCGCGCCACCGCCCCATCGAGGGCAGGGCAGGGCAAGGAAAAGGGGAGGAGGGTACGAGAAGGAGCCTAAAGGGGCTTAGGACCTTCCTCAGGCTTGGGACCCTCGCCCCCAGCCCGTATTTTTTCCTCAGGGAGCCCGCTCCCCTCAGCAGCCCGCGCTTTCTCCTCAGGGAGCTCGCGCCCCTCCCCCCTCAGCCCGCGCTTTCTCCTCACGGAGCCGCTCCCTCAGGGTCGGGAGCCCGGAGCCGCCGGGTCCCTGCCTGAGGAAGGGGCCAAATCGGCTCTCCCCGAGCCTCAGAGCCGAGCCCGTCTCCCCCTGCTTCATCTCTAAACACCCGGGGACTCTCCGGGGCACCTCCCGTCAGCGCCTGACGGGGAACAAAGGCTAAACGGCCCCTTGATAGATGGGACGCAGCGTCCCGAGTGATGGCTTTAACGCCGTGCTTCGCGTGTCTGCGCAGCGCCGGGGATTTACTCTAAATAGGGAATTCATCATTAAAAGCCCGGTGGGATTTGCCATTCAATGCGAAGTGTTTACAGCAGCTTCTGCCAAGGCGGCGTTGGGGTGCCAGGCGGCTTGGCAGCGCGCTCGCTTCCGAACCGCCCTGGAACTGCTCGTGCCTGCAGCCGGCCTGGGCTTTTGTAAGTGACCCTTGTGCAGACAAACAGCGAAAGCCAAGGAGATGCTGCTTCACTGTTGTCAGATTCTTGCGTATCTTGTGTAACAAAAGTGGAAAAAAATAAAAATTCCCTGAAACTAAGGCCAGCGGTTTGATGCACCAGCGCAGTGCCGCCGAAGAGCTCTGTGGAGGGAGGAAAAATTGGAGCACCTCGTGACCTAACCTTGCCTCCTGATCTGTGATTCACTCCGAAGGCTTAAAATACCGATCTCCATCACAGGTTTGTCATATTTTGCGTTGTGCACGTGCAATTTGCCTGTCAAGCTTGAAAATGCAATGCACGCAATTACAAAGCAAACTTCCCTCTCAAAATCCACCCCGCAGCTTTCCCGCGCTGCTTTGAAAAAGCCTGACACCATTTTGGCTGGAAATGTGCTGAAATCCTAGACTACCATGAGACCAATATTGTCTCTGGTTTCCACACTGCGACCTACTTCATCGATTTTTTTTTTTTTTTCATCTAATATTTGCAAGCTTTTCAGAAATGTTCCCTTTTGTTCTGGTGCTGTACAGGACTAAGTACAAAGAGGTCCCAGGCATTTACTGGGGCCTCTCAGTCCCGATAGAGAAATAATCATTAAATGAAGCAGTTTGGGGGTAAACAGCTGGCTGCCACTCTGTGACAGATTAATCCTTAGACACTCCAAGCTTTGTGCTTCACTATAATATAAAAGTAAAGCACTGCAGATTGCCCAACGAAAGCTTTCACGGAGAGAACATGCTGTGCTTGTGCGGCTGGCCTCAGGGCATCTCCACAAAATCAGTGCAAAACCTGGCACAGCAACCAGCTGAAATACTCCGTAGCTTAGAGCTAAGGCTTGGATTGCAAAGAAGAGAATAGCACCGCACCGGCTTTCTAATCCTGTGTAATTCTCTATAATAATAAAACATTTCTTACTGAACGAGTGGCAAATAGATTACTGTCACACGGCCTTATGCAGCTGTCAGGCCAGGTGTACAAGACACTGAGGTTTCACCAGGAACTGCAAGGAACAACATCTTGGAAACGTTCCAAACAAAGGCAATACTGTCCAGAAAGGAGAAGAAAGAGAAAAGCAGAAAAGGAGAAGCGCTGAGAACAATATATTTTTCTGCTTCCTCTCCTAAAACCTCGACAGTTGCAGTGAGTATGTGGTAGGGCCAGCTATATGTCTGCAGATTCATAGTTCAGTCAGCATTTCCTCTGAAACCAATCCTGCAGACCACTTTCCCAGTTGCTTTAGATCCTGCTTCACTGGCTTGTAACCACATTAACCCACAGCCGATCACAGGCGCTCTGGTTTCGCCTGTTTGATTTGGACTCCTGTCAGTAATCACTCATTCCAAGAGGGACTCCCAGTCCATTCATCACTGTCATCATGTTACAGCAGCCAAACCTCCTTTTTCCCCAGAATAGAAGCTTTTTGGCAGCTGTGTCTCTTTCCAGAAACGCAAAGTTTCAGGTTGCCTGCTGCTTTTCAGATTTCTCAGGATTCTGTGTGGGCTGTGAGCAGAAATCTCACAACAGAAAATCAAGTCAGTCCTCCTTATGATCAGGCAAACCTCTCCTCCCCGTATTAGCTTATTGGTGCTGCACTGGGAATCCTAAAAAGAAGGGTGTGCAGGCAAAACTGCAAAGTGAGAGGTGAATTTCACACACTGAATTTCAAGCCCAGACCAAGAGCTGCTCTGGCCTGTTTTGCTTACAGATGAAAACAGGAGCTGTTTGCCTGACAACTGCAGAGACCCATGTCCTCCATTTACCCATGGAAAAATCGTAAGGAAGGAAACGGCTCTTCAAACCTCTTTCACAATGTGCTAATAAGTCCCGGAGACGAGATGTTACTGCAACTTGCTATAAATCAGCCCGTGTACTGAAACAGCCAGCAAAGGTCAGCCTAGGACAGGTGGGCAGTCTGCTGTCAGTCACAACCCTCCAGCCTAGATTATTCAGGAAGATTCATTAAACTGAGCGCCTTCTCTTAAAGAAGAGGGATCTGTCCAAAGCCTGCTGAGTGCTTTTGTTGTAACTAAAGGTTTGCTTTTGAAGATGGTTGATCTAAGCTACCAAAAGGGGCTAGGGCTGCATCTTTCCCATAAAGTATTAAAGATAGAAGTCTCAACTAAAGAAGACGTAGAGGTCCCACCTCTACCCCAGTGCTCAATCTCAGGTCCCTGAAGGGGAAGCAATCTTTCTGCCATCCATACACCACAGCATATCCTTGGCTCCCCTCCATGGCACAGCCTGCTTGGAGAGCTCTCCTCCTGTCAGGGCTTTCCTGGGATTCATCTAACTCCTGTTGCATAAACTCTGGAAGCATGTTTATAAGAAAGGATTAATTTAGGCACAGAACCTTCTCCACCCTTGACAGCAAAGGCTCAGAAGGAGCTTTCTCCATTTCCAGGTGAACAGTAAACCCAGGGGCTCTCAGCTCAAAGTTTAAATAACACCAAAGTTTGGGTGGCCACCGTTGTCGAGATCCCAGTTACCACAAACATTGCTCTTTGTTTTCCATCCCTGCCAGACTCCTAGCATCACGTCTGGGAGACTCTGAAGCTGGAGCTGCAGAAACTGTCCCGCGTTTGTACTCGACGCACACCACGGTCTCCTTCCTGCCTTCCCTGGGAGGTTTTGTACCGCGTGGAGCAAGGACAGACGGGAGGAATCAGGTGGGAGAGGGAAGCAAATCGCCCTGCACAGAGCCACCCAGGCTGCCTGCCGTCTTCACAGCTCACATGCCTGTTTCCAGCACAAGGATGCTAATTCTTTGTTCTGAATTAAAAGCAGAATTCCTCCTGCTGTTACTTTGTCTGAAACGAAGAGCTCTTGCTCCTCTATTTCATCACTGTCCTGGGAGCCACCAGCCTCTTTGTGTCCACAGGACAGCGAAAAAGACCTCAGGCATGAGAATGCCTACTCATTCCCTCATCCTTCTCCTTGGTTTCAACCCAGCCTTTTCTTTAACTGCTATTTTTTTCTTATATTCTTTTTTTTTCGAGCCTGTTTCGCTTCCTACCACACGGTGGTGCTGCAGATAAAAATACCACGGAGATAACGTAAACAACAGCACCTGACCATGAGGTGGACCGAGAGCTGGCCGAGGGCCGAGGCGTGTAGATGGCGTTGCGTTGAGTTCGTTAGGAGCAAACAAGAGGAGCAGCCAGATATCCTCAAATTCGGGCAGCGGCAACAGCTCGGGCTGAGCCCCGACAGAGCGGCTCACACGTCTGAAAAGTGGGCAAGCCGCTCTGGCTGCCCAGTGGCCCGAAAACTTGCTTTTCCTGAGCCCTATCAGCGACTCGTCAGGAGACCACGCACCGCTCCGAGCTGTGATAATGGCAGCTAGAGATATCAGCTATCGACTCTGCTGCCCAGAAGCAGCTTGCAAAGGTTTCAGCCCAGCAGAATCCAAATATAGGGCTTACGGCTGTCACGCAACAAGTCCCCGCTGCAGATCGGCCACAGGCAGGCCATTAATTTTAACAAACATCGCAGATCCCTGCCCAACTGCACAGGGAACATGCAAAAACGAGCTCTGCTGCCCATGTTTGCCCATGTTTGCCCATGTTACCCTAGGCAGCGCGATCCCCGAGCAACCCAGGAAACCAAAGGAGATGTCACAGAGTCCCAAACACAAACCAGCGCCTCAGTCACCATGGAGCTTTTCTGCTGAATGTTAGTAAGACTTAAGAACACAGATTCCTCATGGTAAGGCTAACAAACATGGTAAAGGTTAATATAACTCACATCCAGTCCCCACGCATTTATGATGGACAATGATATGCCAAGCCAAACATATTTTGAAAGACGGCTCCATCCCCTTGAGCTCCCCGTCACAGATTTCCAAAGCAGAGAAAGAATCTCTCACACTGGCAATGACCCCAGGGTTCCTGGGACCAGAAAGAGCGTGGCTCTAAGCTCTTTGTTCACTACAGATCAAGGACTATCTGCATTTGCTCAGATTCGGGTATTTTTGTAAAGCAGCATGCCGCACTGCAAATAGAGCCTCAGCTAAGAGCTTTCAGACAGAAAGAACAAAGCATAACTCTGCCACCTCTCATAATATTTGAATCCTTTCTAAATATCCACAAAGCACTTGCTCTTATTCAGCTCCCTCCTCTCTGTTTTGGCTGTGACACCTCTGAAATGTTCACTAACAGCCTGTGGTCCTTTTAAATCTCTCTCTGCCCTGAAGGGAAAATATGCTTCTTATAACACATCCCCTAAGGCAGCCAGTTGCTTTGTCCCAGGAAGGTTTTACTGACCTTAAGAGTGCTGAGAGTTCCTTACTTGAGAGTGAGCATTGCTCGAGGATACAAGGTGGAGGAAGAGAGCGACTCTCTCATTTCCAAAAGATTTAATCTGCCCACAGGCAATTTCTCAAGAATTAAAATGTTCTTCAGTGCCCTGAGTATCTGTCCCTAAGAGGAGGGACAGTTTGTCCAGCAGCCAAGGCCATGCAGTGAGGCAGGACAGAGTCCCATGCAGGTCTGCAAAGGAGCAGCTGCCATTCCTGAGCACTACTTGCATCTGAAAAGCAGGAATCTCATCCATGCAAGTCCTGGGAGGCCCCATTTGAATATTGTGTTAGTTGTTAAAGCATTGGATGCTCCAGGAATCCCTGTGCCCATTCACGGGGCAGATGCTGAGCTGACACATCCCTGCCCTGGTGAAAAACAGCCTAAAAGAGCCAGCTTCATTCAGACAGCAGGGAAATTTGTTTGGGTAAAGCAGAGCGTTGTGAAAAAGAAACTTATTAAAGGGAAAGTTGACCTAGAACCTTTCTTTGGGGGGAAGGGGCAGGAAATGGTCAGGTGGCCAACGATAACAAGGATAAATTATTGCCAGGCAGATGCAGTGATGATTTAGGCTGTCTGGAGAACAACCAAGCCAGGCTAAGCGGGGCGCTGGGGTGAGTCAAGCCAGGCAGAGCAGTGAAGCAATCCACGAGGCCAATTTAAGCAGGGGAATGGCCGGCCTGGGCAGAGGGCAGGCAGGGGAACGGGGACAGCCAGGCAGGGCCAGAGCCAGGCAGCGACAGCCATACTCACTCAGGCACTGCAGACCACTTTTATTCATGAGAGGTTTGGCACACAGGGAGCAGCTGGTGCAGCTGGAGAAAACCCCTGGCACAAGCTGGTGCCGATTGACCTCTTTCCACCTCTCTTTTGGCTCCTTTGTCTCTTTCTCCTTCTCTTTCTCTTTTGATTGCTCTTTGTTCTTACCCTGGAAGGAAAACAAAAAAAAATACAGCTCTGTTATGTGCCTTGCACTGCCCACACATTCCTCTCTCTGCTGGTAAAAACAAGCACACAGCAAGCAGGCATACAGCAAATGCAGTGGGCCCCGTCGTGTTTGAACCTTTGGGATTGCAGTGGTTTTCCCAAATGCCTCCCAAAGGCTTGGGACAGTCCCTTTAGGGTAAGACCATGCATGACAAAGGGCAGCATGTGCCCTTACCCCTGCAAGCTCTTCTCTGTGAGTCAGGGACCACTTGGTCCCCTGGATGCTGTTAGGAGTCACCGTGCATCTGCTGATGAAATCAGAGGCCTCAGCCACCCAAAAGCAAGTCAGCGGACTGGTCCCTGGAACCAGATCCCCTCTCCTGCTCGAGGAATTCAGCAGCCTGCTCCACAGATTCGCCATCTCTCTCACCTTATCCTTCCAGGACCCGGTAACTCGGCTCCGCAGGGAACTCAGACGCCGCATCACCTTGGTGCCTTTCTCTGCTTTGTCACTCTTTCCACTGTCCTCATTTCTGAAAGGAGACAAAAAGCATCTTAACTAAGGGAAGTTAACCAGCCAAGCACGGTTCAAGGAGATCACTGATGAAGTTCGTCTGAAGCTTTACTTTAGGGCCCCATCCCTGGGCTTTCAATCCGTTGGGGGATCTGGTTCAGCATCAGTCACATCGTTCATGGGGAGACTTGCAAATAAGGTAATGAGCTTTCAGATTACGGCTGGCACTGTGTTTTTGTTCAGTGCCATGCACAATGAAGCCCCACTCTGGGCAGAACCGCTGCAGAAACCAGTGTCCACAGTAGTAGCGGGGTGCTTGAGCTTCGATGGAATGGGGCTAGAAATCAGTCTGCTCCAGGGACACCGAGTCTACTGCCCACCTCACTTACTCGTTAGACAGGAACTCAAACCAGGTGAGGTTCTGCTGGGAGGAATCACTGCCTTCTTGCACACAAACTCTCTGCTTTACCCTGTGCAGGGAGAAGACATCAGACACAGCAAAAAAAAACACAAACACAAGAACAGAGCTTCTCCCAGACACACTCACCCGTGATACTGCTTCAGCTCCTGAAGTACTTGCTGGACAATTAGCCTACCAGGGACGGGGCAGAAGAAAAACAAAAGATCAGAAAATTTCTTGGCAAACGTGTCCTGCACCCCACATAGAGTCAGGCACTGGTTTATGACCAGCTACAGAGCCGTGCCCCAGCATGGTGGGATCTCCCTCATGGTCTGATCCTGGATCTCCGGTAGCTCAGATGCACTCAAGAATCTCAGCCACCTCCAGAAGCCAGGACTGACAATACCTACACGTGGTCTGGGGACACGTGATCCTTCTCCAGCATCTCCAGAGCAGGGGGTTCGACACCTGGAACAGAAAACACCCTCAGCAGGTATCCTGGTTTGCTGTGTTATACCTTCCTCCTGCAATCTGTGTTACCCTAACTTCTGGGGATCCTTCTTGCAGCTAGAGGGTAGGAGCTGACACCATCCCAGAGACCCTCCCTGGTTACTTCCCAGCCCATCTTCTTAACATTTCCCTACATTTATTCCAGGATAATCCTCGCAAGTGGGGCAGGCTAATGGATTCCAGCAGCACAGAGCTGGCCAACGTGAAGTTTACAGGAGCTGGGGGGGGTTTGGTGCTGACAGGCCACCTGGGAGAGGGGCTCTCCTAGGAGCTGAGTCCTCTCACCGTGCCTTGCAGCACGGGTCGCAAAAATAGACAGAGCAGAGGACAAATATTCTGAGCAGGGATTTCTCTTCTCACAGGCTCATAAGCCCGGAGAGGTACTCAGCAAATAAGCCCTCGGTTCATTCCTCCTGTAGTCTCCGGTTTTCTAAGGCTTTTGGTGCAGAAAGCAGAACCTGAAGGCCTGATCCCACAGCCTGCTCCCCTGCCAGTTAAGGGCCCTGCTGCCAGAAGCCCACCTTTGCCCTGTTCTTGTGGGTGGAGGAGAAAGGGCACATCTAAACCATGGGCAGAAGCAGAGGTACATTTTGTTCCTAGGAAACTGTCCTTGCCTCATGTGCGTGAGGAATGACCAACGCTCCGGCTGCACGGCAATGTGCCTCTGGGGTCACGTCTGTGCTTAGACTCCTGTAAACCCAGCTCATACCCAAAGTCAGCTTGACTTTATCTCAGGAGCTCCTGGGACTGTGTAGCAGGGAAGGGCAGAGGATGTCTAGACTTGCAGAGGCTACAGCTCTGGCTCTGTGCCTTAGTCACAGCCGACCTGCACTCGATTAAAGCCGTACATGCTGTCTGCACCAACCTTCCATGACCGAAAGAGCAGTGTTGAAACCGCAGGGTATGGGAGGGGAGGCGATCTCGCAGGCTGATGGGACGGACTTCGACCTCAGCCTCTTCCCGTCACTGCCACGTTCCTGGAGAAGTGAAAATTCATGGGCATCTTTGGTCCTGCGTGCGCCAAAGCCTCCACTGGGGCCCAGCACAGTTGGCAAGGCACAAATCAGGGAATGGGGCTCCCATCTCAAGCGCCAGCGATCACTCCTGCCTTCCCACAGCCTCCTGCCCTGCAGGCCCACCCCAGCAGCACCAGGGCTCGTTCCCTTGCTGCAAGCTTCTAGCTGTGCTGTGTCAGAGCACAGGATTAGACCAAGACCCAAAAAATGCATCCTGCCACCAGCTCTGTCTCAGAGTCTCGGTGGAGAAGCTGGTGAGGCGGTTCAGAAACAAAGAGAGGGGAGTATCAGTGGGAACAGGCAGTGCTTGCTCCCTTCTGGCTGCAGCAAGGGAAATTACAACAGGAGTTCTGTGTCTTCTGTGCCTTCTACACACCCAGCTTACCCGCTGCCGGCACACGCGCAGCCCTCGCACACTCACCACCTCCTCCGAGCCAGGGCAGCCCGGGAGGCTCGGGTGCAGCGGCTCTATCTCCACCTTGATCACCATGCTGCCACCACTGCTGCTCCAGGCTTCCAGCTCGCCCCGGGGCAGCTGCAGGGACACGCGAGGCTGCGGGCAGGACCGGCTGCCCTTCTCCACATCCTCCTGCTCCGCGTCGCTGCCCGCCTCGGTGGTATCCAAGCTGAACCTAATTCAGTAAAGGGGAAGGAGACGGCTTAGCAAGGCCGTCCCATTGTGCAGCCCCTGCCATGTCCTGAGTTTGGGTGGACAATCCTAAAGAGTCTACAGTGAAGACAATCCTACAACTGTGGAGCCCACAACGAAGATAATCCTACATCTGTGGAGCCTACAAGACAAGGAGGGCCACCGCAGCAGGCCTGTGGGAGAGGAAATGCTGGGAAGAGTCAGCCTGGACACCAAGTCCTGAGCATGTTAAAAGCATCTTCTCTGGCTGCCATCAGCAAGCCCACGAGCTCCTCGGTCACCTGGGATGTTTAATTTGGCTCTTGCTGATCTCTCAGCAGCTCCTGAGACTGCACAGCCACCCTGCAGCCTGCCTCGCCTGCGTGGGAGCTGCTGGCCTGCCAGCTGCAATGCCAGCAAAGTCCCTTCGGGCAATTTAGAAATGGCAGATGTTGTCATTTATTGAATCATCCCCGTGGCATCGTGTCATAAATCCTGCTCCTCCGGGGCCCGGCTTCAGGGAAGGAAAAAGAAATCCTGTTCTGGGAAGCGAGGGGCGGACCGGCCCCCCAGCACCCTCCAGCTGCCTGAACACCAAGTGCTGCTGCGGTGCCAGCAGCGTAGGGACAAAATGATGGATAGGAGCTTCATTCCTGCTGCCAGAGACAGGCTTTGGGACGCATTTGCTTAGGGGACAGCAGGGCTCGTTCCCCTTCCCTGGCCCCCCACTCGCACATGCTTAATCACACAGCGAGGAGACCGGCACGGACAGCCACTCCGTGCCACCACGGCTCGTGTGCCTGTTCCACTGTAAACTGTGAATGATCCCTGGCACACGGCACAACAATAGGTCTGGGAACCAAAGTCTGAGCTTGATAAAGAACTGCCAAGATTTCAGGCTGAGATAATTTTAGGGTACCTTATAAGGAGGGGAGATATAAATAGGCGTTGCTGGCTTGCCCCTACCTCCCGGCCAGCAGAGATCAATACGTTTGTCAGCAGGGGAAGCGTGCACAAAGGAACCTGGAGCCCAAGCGCTGCAGGCGGCAGGAGCACAGCACAGCAGTAATGCCAGGCCTGGAAACCCCTCCCAGCCAGAGCTCAGCTTCACACCACAAAATGCACCCCCTTCTGCAGCCACGGGGAGAACAAGGGGGCTGAGGACTGCTGCAATTGCAGCCACAGGCCCCACTGAGCCAACTCGCAGAGCAGAAGAGAATGGGTTTGGCAGAGCTCTCTTAATCCCTGGGAGCTGGTAAAGTTCCCTCTGAGGCAGAGGATGGAGGTCACCAGGGCAACTGATGGTGTGCAAGGGTCCTCTGCAGGCAGAACCGAGCTCTCCCCAGATGAGAAATCCTCTTCCCAGCACCAATAGCAGGAAAAGAGGCTCTTCCTATTGCCAAGAGACACAGAAACCTCCTCCTGCCCTCGTGTCTGTTCCTCCCCGTCCCACCCAACACGAGCAGCAAGCATCCAGCTGCCTTGGCAGACGCTGATGAGGGTGGGAGACCACCCAGCAGCAGGGCGATCGCTCCAGCCTCCCGCAGCATCGCTGTGCTGGATATCTCACACGGCCCTCACGGCCCTGCCTTACCTGCGCTTGCAGTCCACGGGTGACAAGGGGCTCTCCCAGCTGTGCCTCCGAGAGGTAGACATGGACCTCACCAGCGTGGGGAAGGACTCCGTGGTCTCCTGCAGGTCCAGGTCTTCACCCATCTCCTCGGGACCGTCGGCAGCGCCGGTGCCTTTGTTCAAGAAGTGGCAGTCGGCCTCGCCATAACGCACCGAGCAGGACACGGGATTGGAAAAAGCCACGTCCACGGACATTTTGCTCAGAGCCTCAGGTCTTTCTTCCAAGAAACGAATGGCTGACACAGCCTGAGGGGCTGGTTCTGGCTGCGCCGCTGCCTCCGGCGCTGTTTTGGCAGCTGGCGGGCTCAGGAGCCCCAGGTCTTTGTAATACTCCGTGCCGTGGAGAGCTGAGTCTGAGAGGAGATCCTCCGTGCTGCTGTGCAAGTCAGCTGCGGGGACGTCCAGCTCTGTGGAAGAGGAATCTTCCTGCAAAGGCAGCAATGGCACAGCCTGAGCGCATAAAGCCCATCAGAGAGCCTCGTGCTCCTCCTGAGAAGGGGGCACATCCCATGCAGAGCTGGGACCGCTCTGCTCTCCCCTCCCGATGCGACCTGCCCCAGTCCCACCAGCTCAGCTTGCTCCCGGGGCTTGTAAGGCTCCCTCTATCCCGAGATCTCTCCATGCCTCACACCCACTGACATCCATGTGTATGATTTTTCCCAGCAAGAAAAGCAATATAACCTTGTGCTCCTTGATAATTTGGGTCAGCACTCCTTTCCCCTGCCCTTATTCCACCTCAGCCCCCTCTGGATACGGTGCTGACCCCCCCAGTTTGCCACCCCCAGCTCCTGCCTCGCGTGGTGGCAGTGGAAGGACAGAGGACACTCGCCTTTTCCTCAGCCATGCTGGTGAAGAAGGTGTCATCCTCAGCGATCAGGGACGGGAGGAAGCTCTTGGGGCCGCGGTACTCCAAAGCAGAGGGGCTGCGCTCAGCGAGTTCCCGTAAGCAGGGCTTGCAGTCAGACCCTGCAAGACAGAGAGGTCACAGCTTGTGGCCGGACGGCCAGGAGGATGTAAAACCAGTGACACAGAGAGGTGACATCAGGCAGCACTGACACACTCCACGTGGCCCTCTGCTCCCTCAACCCTTCTGGACAGGAGCCTCTCAAGCCCTAGCCAGCCTCCATCCTGGGGGAACACGGTGCAGGGGTCCCCTAGCAGCAGAAATGCCATCCCTTGAGCCACGGCACGTGCCGGGGCAGAGACCAGGCTTGCACCATCCCAGCCAGACCCTTATACGATGTCCTGTTCCACAGGGGCTGCTTTCACAGTAAAGCAGAAGAGCTAAGCACATTGTCACCGCTGTCACTTGCAGGAATCACTTTAAAGCATGAATCTAGGGGAAAAAAAACAACATACTGGCATCACTGGTATTATTTGCATCCTTAAAGAGTAAAGGACGCCGCTGGGAGGGAAGACAGGAGGACTTGGGGCAGCGGTGACACGCGGAGCAGTGCTGGAGGTGTGTGGGTCTCCGGTCCCACAATGTGCACGTTCCCCACACCGCAGCGCTGAGCGGGTGCCGGAGCACGCGTGCACCGCCCGATAAGTCATTGAGAAACAAAAACAAGGCCTGGACGTACTTGGCGGCACAATATATCGTCCAGCTGACTGAAGCACATTCCTATGTAGCGAGACACGCTGGAAACGCTAGCCACGATCTCTAAACCAGTGCGTGACTCACGGAGGCCTTCTATTCCTCTGAGATACGCACAGCTGAGGCGAGTGGAAAAAAGCCAGGCTGTTGGCTGAAGCACCGTGGTGGATGGCTGAAGATGCGGAGAACAATAGCAAGAGACAGTAAGCCACCATATCCATCCAGAGAGGGGGGAATAAACCTGCTAGAAACTGCTAGAAGCCCATCAAACTCCAGGAGAGCAAAATATAAAAGCGTTACTATGAGCAAGATCCTGTTAAGAAACACCCTCCTGGAAACCTTGCAGCCTGCTGTGCGTTTTAATGCTACACGATGCAGCCAGCAAGCCAGAAATTGCGTGGTGCCAACGCGAAAAAGGCAGCAAACGTGAGGGAGAGTTTGGAGGTTTGTTCCTTGGATCCTGCTGCACGCTGCAGAGGCCAGGTTGTCTGCTTGAAGGAGCGTTTGGTGTGTTTAAATGTGTGAAATCATTTAAAGTCGGGGCTATAAGCGATATAGTGAGGAAAACGCTCCACGAAGGCACTGTTTAACTAAGAGCTTTCTAACTACACAAGCAGTGAAAATTTGAAACAGGCTGTCTAGGGAGGATCTAGGAGAAGATTTTAATTAATAGACAAATTCCTGCCCTGGATGTCCTTGGGCTGCATCTGTAATGCTTTAGCTGTAAAACTGGTCGAGGCTCAGCCAGCAGGTTTTAACATCACTTTTTGTTTTCTCCTGTTCAGCTTGCAAGCAAGAAATCAGCTTTCTGAAGAAACCAGCGCAGGTTTTGGCGTGGGCTTGAAGGAAGCTGAGCAGCCAAAGATGTCAGCGGACAGCAAAAGCCACCGAACCCCCAAAACAGGCTGGGGCTGAGACCAAGGTAGGACTGACCCAAGGGGAGCAACCAGAGGGTTGGGAAGGTCCCAGGGAGCCAGGGACACATCCTGCTTGCCCTCTGTGAGCCTGAGGAGGGAAGCAAAAGGAGCTTGTTTGCCCTTGCCATCCCTTGCAGCAGTGAACACGCCTCAGAGAAGGGAGCAAAGTCCCCAGGGGCAGGGATGGAGCTGCAGGAGCTGACAAGTGCTGCAGCCTGACAGAGGCCAGAGCCCTGGCCCGCAGGTTTAGCTAAAACAAAGAGGTGTTTTCCTCCCGAGCAGGGTCCCAGCCAGCCTGCCAAAGCTGGCTCTGCACCAGGCTCCATCCTGCAGCTCTGAAGTGGGTCCCTGGATCAGAGTCAGCTCCTTGGAGGCCTGGAAAATATTCCCTGTGCCGTGCAGGGCTCTGGCTTTGGCCAAGATGTCTGCTGCAGTCAACAAGCCCCCTGCAGCCCCACCAGACAGCTTACATCCTCCTCGGACACTTCAGACACTCTTGTTCAACACGCGATAAATCAGGTTTGCAGCCAGCGGCGGCGAACCCGGCGGCAGCGACCGTTAGGCACCAGCGTGTGCTGTGCACGGGGCTACGGCAGTGGGGAGACCATTTTAGGCAATGTGTGAGCACCAGACGTGACAATTCCGGGCTCCCCGCGTTTAATTCCTCCATCAGTTGACCCTGGGCTAGCACCGTCAGCTCTAGACACGACACTTGGGCACAGGGATCCCGTGGAGGGGCTCTTGGGGGAAAAAATATGTTTCCAAGAATCAGGTTATGGCAGGATGAGCAAAGAAAGGCTGGTGCGGAGAGCACAGAGGCTGTGAGCATCCCTGTCTCTGAGACGGAGGTGGTCACCCATCTTCTAGCCAGAAGGGTAAACCCCAAGGCCCTGCACTCGAGACTCTTTGGGAGGACCCGTCCCCGGTCTCGCCGCTGCATGGTGGTCAGGGGTTGGCCCCACAGGTCCCCAGAGGTGGCCAGGCAGCAGCATTCACTTCCCTCAGCTGATCCTGGAGACAAGATGGCAAAAGGACCCTTCCAAGAGCACACACATGCTGTTTGGTTTCAGGGAACATTAAGCAGTGTCGGTGCTGCAGTTGCTATATTGTCCTGTGGCCAGGGACCATAAAAGGTTGCTGCTGCAGGGAGCAGCTCCTCAGAGGAATTCCCAGGGCAGAGCTGGGGAGGAAGCGCCGCACACGAGCGGGGCTGTGCTGCGCTGTGCCAGGCTGGCTTCCTGGCAGGCAGAGCATGAAGACGCCAGGCTTCTTCCCCAGGAGGAAGGGAGCAATGAGAGGTGTCCGTGGCGTGTGGCAGCCTGGGGAGGTTTGGTACCATGGGGACCCACCAGCTGAGCTGGTTTGTCTCGAGGAAGAAGGCTCCCTGCTGCTGCACCCGCATGCAATGTCACTGGGCGACTCATAAAGATGTGGATATTTCTGTTTCAGGGCTGTAGGAAAAAAAAAAAAACTCCCTTCTGCAGCCACCCAGGCAAGCCGGTCACTGGAGAAAACACCCACAGCTGGTGACAGCAGGGGACCCCACCCAAGCAGCCAGTGCTGGAACAAGCTGTGCCCGCCAGGGATTTGCAGCCCAGGAGCAACGTGCCCTGACCCCAGGCCCCAGCTGCCTTGTTGGGGCAGGATGCTGCGGGTCCCCGGGCGACCCCAGAGCCAGGCAGGGGATGCGTCAGAGGAAACGCAAGGATCCGAGCTCTCACCACACAGCTCACATCCTGCAAGCATCAAACACCCCCCGAATTTCCACCGAGGAAAGGCCACAACAAACACGGCAGGGACAAAGGCACCGGTCAGAACGAAACAATCCCAGGAGGAAGGAAAGAGCAGAGCATCTGAGCATTTCCTAGCAATCAGGGGACAGAGACTGCTGGGAAACCACCGAGAGCATCACAGGCAAGAAACAAGAATCATTCAGTCTCCTTCTGGCTCTTCCCTACTGGCCCAGCACCAGCTGCCCTCTACGTGCAGCCCTGCAGGATGACCAGAGCCGTAGGGTAAAACTTCTGCAGAGCAAGTGCTGAGCTCGCCGTGCCAAAATCGGATGAAGTGCAGCACTTGGCCTGGTCTGGGCCCCAGCTCATCGGCCGTTGGCAGCAGCGGGGATTGGCTCATGTGGCCCGGGCTGAAGGAGGGGAGAAGATAAGCCGTCCGACACCGTAACGCACTGTACAGCGAGCTGCTGCCTTATCGCTGCCTTTGGGGCCTGGTTTTTGGGCACGCAGGGCACGGGGAGCAGGGAGGCAGCACGAGCCTCAGCTCGCTGTCAGTGGAAAGGTCTCAGCAGGGCTCAGAGGAGCTGCAGCCTCTCAGATACCCTCCCAGCCACGACCTATGGTCACTGTGCAGCTTCCTCAGCAACTGCTGGGGAGAGGGCTGCCCCGAGATGCTCCCCAAAGCAGCCTGGTTATGAGCAGAGGCTGATTTATTTATTACAGCCCTGAGCCCAGCTGCGCCTCCCCAGTGAGCCCAGGCACGGCACTGCGGGGCTGGGGCTGAGGAGCTGGGAGCTGCTCAGGGCTCAGTGTGGGTCAGAGCCTCCTGACCCTGCCTCCTGCTCTGCACAAACCTTCCTGCGGCCGGCTGCTTGGGATCCCCTTCCCCTGAGTGTCCACAGAGGAAGAGGAGAGCTGGGGGAGGAAAAGGCCGACACACATCAGGCGCTCGAATGCCACAGATAACGATAACCACCAGCCCGAGGGCAGTGTTTGCAGCAGGGGCAGCAGTGTCCAGCTCCTCCAGGGCCACGAACACCCCACATCCTGGGGTTCTCACTTCTCTCTTTCCAAGCCATGGCACTGCGAGCAGGAATGAGGCTGGCTCACACCACTGCCGGCATTTCCCACCCCTGCTGTGGGACAAGCGGGTGCCACATGAGCCACCAGGGCTCAGCCCGTGCCCCGAACACGGGGGCTCAGCTCCTCAGCCTGCTCTGAGGGACCGGAGGAGCCTCTTTCCCCGGCATCTGCTCTGACACCAAAGTCCCAGCACACAACTTGAGGCTCAGCCCTCGGCAGCTGCCTGCGAATGCCGGGACCTCCGGCTCACTGGCAGCAGCAAAGCTCGGTTATTACAAAACCATAAGGCTGCTGTTTAACCCGTTACCCAGCTCCCCAAAGCATTTACATGCCCTGAGAAGGTGAAGCAGAAGGAAAAGTGTCACTGACATCTGAGCAGTGGCCCCACAGAGAGGAGCAGTGGGTGCCCAGCATGTCAGGGACCCCCGTGCTCTCTGCCACCCGCTCGCCCTGGCCGCCCTGCAGCAGCGGCTCGCGGCGCCCGGCTCAGCCCTCTCTCCCCACGCACAGGCCGTTACCTCGCTTAAAGGACCATCTCTTCTTCCAGCGCTTCGAGAACGACGGCCAGGAGTGATTGAGCAGTGAGTCGGACATTGGGGAGCCCTCGGAGCCCCGTGCGAGGAACGGCCCCAAGCAGGAGACGACAGCACGGCGCACGGCAGAGCTCAGCGCGGTCTAAGGCAGCGCTGCAGGCTGCAGCCCAGGGGCTGCCAAGGGGGGAGTGGAGAAGCCAAGTGTTTTGTCAGAAGTATCAGCTGATGGAAGCTGTAGCCAGAGAGAAATTCCTGGTCTCCGGCGTTCCCACCTGTGTGACGGGTCAATGACTTCCTACAGTGGGGTCCGGGGATTAGTGGCCCCGCAGCGCATGCAGCCCCGAACACTGGCCGAGGCTTGCAGAGGGAAGCAGAAAACAGGCTGCAAACACACCCAAACCTGCCCCTCGCTGCCAAAACCTCCCTGCTCTGCTCGTGGTGATCAGATGTCAGCCGGACAAACCGTCACCTGCACGTCCGTTCTGCAGGGGCACGGGGCCCCTCCACCTGGGAAATGCAGGACAAGAGCCGAGAGCACCAGCTGGGTATTTGCACCTTTGGCATCACTTTGCACAGCCTCAGCAAGGGAAGGGGCGAGACCCTCCCCATCTGCAACGCTGGCATCACCTTGGGGTCTTAGCAAGTCCCTGGCCCTTGGCAAGGATCATTCTCCAAGCCCTTCTCAGCTCCCCCACAAAGGGAGGTGGGAGCTGTCTCCAAATTGCCCCAAGACACCAAATCCCCCTCCCTGAGGTCTCTGAGCCCCACTGACACCAGCCCTGCAGCTCACCCTGGCTCCAAACCTTGCTCCTGAGCCCTTGAGCAGGCTGACAAAGCCTGGTTATACAATCTCAGCCTCGCTGAGCAGACCCCAGCTGGTTTGGGGACGGCCACAGGCACCTCCACAGCATGGAGCCTGCTCCGGGCTGGTGTCACACAGAGGTGGGTGGTGAAGAGCGTTTCCCTCACCCGACCACAAACCTCAAGGCGTCATCTGCCCAGTGCAGTCCTCCCACATCCCCTCTGCAGGCAGCTCCCTGACAACACGGGCACCCAGCTCAGCAGCGGCCCTTTGGAGAGTTTTTGGGGGACCCCAGCTCAGCCAGACCCAAACCCAGCCGTGGGCAATGCTGAGGTCCTGCCGGGGGGGAGGCATCTGCAAACCTTCATCTGTGGCGTGGCAGCAGCAGGAGCAGCACCCGTGGGGTGTTTGGACACCCCAGCACTGCCCCAAAGGGAGCCAGGGGGACGCCCGGTGGGTTAAACCCCAACCTCCTCTTCACGTGCAGCAGGGTGAGGCTGCTTCGTCAGAAAACCCCAAGGAAGATGAGTGAGAACTCCAGTGTCATCGGATGGATCTCGTGCGGAGAATGACTTACCCTGAAGGCTGGAGGCATCTCTGGTGAGTTCCCCGAGCACGTTTACAGCTGACAGCCCCGACTTCTCCAGCCGCTGGTGCAAAGCAAGAAGCGGAGCCTCATCGGGGAAGCAGCAGCCGCGCTGCCGGGCTGCTCGCGGGGGCCTCTGGCTCAACCATCTCACCGCTTCCCCTTTCCGAAGACACGAACAAGCCCGCCTTGCCCATGCTGCAGTTCCTCCGACGTCAGCCCTGGCACAGCCCCGCTGCTCTCTCCAGCCCTCGCAGGGGTCGGGGCTCCAGCAGAGTCCAGCAGCCCCCGTTGGGGGGGCCGCACACCCCAAACCTCCCGGCGCAGGGGCCCCGAGAGCTGCAGAACTGGTGATGGCCACGATGACAGCGATTGCCGCAAACAGCTTCCTGTTCCGTTCGGAGAAAAACCGCTCTGCGTGCACCGTGAGAGCCTGGCACTAAGGGGCTGTGCCCATGGGCTCGTTGCACCATCGCTCGTTAGCCTCCTGCCAGGGGCAGCGGGGCCCAGCGCCGGGCTCCCACAAACGCATCTTTCGTGGCGGGGTGGCTCTGGCAGACCCCACAGCCCAGCGGGTCTCAGGCTGAGAGAAGATAAAGCGATAGCAAAGAAACAAAGCACAGAGATGACTGCGCCGGCTGAATTTCTCTGTGCAGGTGAGGGGCAGACCCACAGGCACTCTGGCTCCAAAGCAAGGGGAGCGAGGGGCGAGGTGCTGGTCCTTGCCGCGTGCGGTCCGTCAGGCAGAGCCCCCAGCACAGCCTGGGCTCAGATTTTCGGTGCGGCCGCCTGCTCTGTTCCACCGAGCCCTGGGGGCCACCGAGCGCACGCACCTCATCCCACGGCCCCGAGCACACGCCAGCCCCAGCCAAGCCCTAATCAGAACAAGATCCGCTCACACTCCAATTACTCAGAGACCGCAGCCTTGGCAGCGCTTGGGATAGCAATTATCCAGTGCTCCAGGAAACCACCAGAGCAAAGAGGAATTAAGGTTTAATTTCTCTGAAGTCCACAAGAGCTCGGTGAGGATCAGGGATCAGGGATCAGGACTGCTCCCAAACCAGGCAGCTGACGGGACGGTGCGGTGTCCTTACCACAAGAGAGGACCAGAGCTAATCTCTTTCCTTTCTGGTGTCTGATATGGTTTGGGGGTTAGCAAAGCAGAGCTATGCATGCGGCCTGGAAGAGCGATGAGGGATGACGGCACGAGGGCTGGATGAGTCTCAGCATCCTCCCCCAGCATCCACGACTTGAGAGCCCAGCAGGCAGCAAACCTCCCGTCACAGCAAGGTCAAGTTTTGTTAGGATCTCCAGAGAACGACCTGTGCCAGAAAACGCAACTCCAAACCATTTCAAAGTATTGCTTTGTTTCTCATGGCTCTTACAACACGAGAAATCCAGGTGGGTTTGGAGAGGGCTGAGGTTGGGCTGAGCCGCTCCGTGTGCTCCTGCCCAACACAGGGCAGCGGGCGCAGAGCGGGGCTGGATCCAGCTGCCTCGTCCAGCTCGGCGTGCAGAGGCACTAGGTGGCATCAGCACTGCACAATCTCCGTTAACCAACGTCAGCGCCCAGCCCAGCGCTGGGCCCAGGTGGCTGATGAAACACTTGCTGGAATTTACCAGGGACAGGGGGCGAGGAGTGTGCAGCGAGGGTTGACCTCGACCCCTCCAGGAAAAAAAAAAAAAAAAAAAAAAAAAAAAAAGCATTTTTTGCAAAAAAAAAAAGTAAAATCACACTACTCACTTTTACAGCCATTTGTTGCGCAAGCAGCGGACGCTATCCCCAGGTCTGAGGCCGGTGGGGCCCTGGCAGAGCCGAGCCCCAGCAGGCCGGGAGCAGCCCCGAGGTGCTCAGCTTGGTGCTGGTGAGGTGAGGAGCTGGGGCTGCAGCACAGCGAGGACACGAGGGACAAGGCACGGCAGGAGAGCAGGTACCTTTACCAAAAAGCTAAACGCATCGAGAAGAAAAACAGCAGCAGCGAGTCCCCCGCCTCGCTGGTGCAGCTGATCAGGAAGGAAATCTCGCCTGTGATAAAACGAAACAACGTTTAAGTCAGAAGAAAGAAAGATTTTTACATTTCCACAGCAGCTCGGTACAGAAGGCGAGGGGAGGTGGTTCCTGGTGCAAATCCGGCCCCAGCTGCTCTGCCTCAGGACGGGGATGAAGCCTCTGCGTTTCTGTCTCGCAGTTCTGCCTTTTAAAACTGCCTGCATCCCCCTGATGGGAAAGGAGCCTGGGTCTGTGCTCGGAGAAATAGCAGCATGATGCTACGGAGCAGCAGCTCTCGCTGTTTTGGGCAGAAGGAAGCCCTTTACCAATGTTTACTCAACAGCACCGAGCACCCTGCGGTGAGGATGAGCCCGAAGCATGTCGTGCACACCACGGGGCCGAGCTAAGTGAGCCTCGGACCACAAACCTGCAACGGGCAGATCTGTGTTTGTTTTTTTCTTTTTTTCTTTTTTTTTTTTTTTTCCTTTTCTCAGCACCATTCATTTTGCAACTGAAAGTATTACTTATTCCAAGATATGAATTTAATGCTTTCTCTGTGGTAAAGCAGCATCCAGCGCTGCACAGACAGCAGACACAAAATGAGCAGTTATTCTTGGATAATTTATTCAGAAATTTAATATAAACAGTTAATTGTTCAATATTCTGACACACGGCAAGCGTTTTGTCTTAATGCTCCAAGATATTTTCTGTACATGTCACTGCTTGGCTCTTACATATGAAAACATTGAAAAAAAATAAATCAAGGGGGAGGTTTTTTATTTTTTTGTGTGTTTTTCTCCTTTTTTTTAGAAAAAAAATCATGGCACATTTGATCCTTTGTTTCAAACAAGAGGTATCTGCAATACTGGAACCTTAGATATGCAGAGAGAAAGGTGGGAGCAGCAAGTTTAAACAGGAAAAAAAAAAAAAAAAGACCTCACAGAACATCACTTAGCATGTAACTGAAACTGCCTCTGGTCCGGTTAAGGTGCAAGCAGCCCAGCATTTGCTTTTGGCTGCGTTTGATCAAGCCGATGCCCAGAACCCCATCCACAAAGCTCCTCAAACACAAGCCGCTGTTTTGACACTCTAAGAACAAAACCAATGTGCAAATTAAAGCAAAAGGTAAGGGGATTCCTTTTCAAATAGCATTCTGTCTTTTCAGATTTAAAAGTGGCTTTTCTAAGATCGCCATCAGCCAGTTTCCATCACACCCGGTAATGGGAGAAGTATTTGGAAACCAAGACGGTGACAGCATTACCAGATGCTGCTGGGGGGGAACCCAGAGGAAGAGAAGAGCTTTGGGAACAAGCTCAGCTCAGACGTCGGCTCTTGGGCAATTGAGAGCCCAGCAAGCCCAAGCCACGCTTTCCACCACCAGGACTGCAAAGCAGCCCCTCGGCAGCACAGAGCAAGAACCTGAGTGGTGGCGCCAGGACTCAGCTAAGCAGGTGAGCCTGGGCCCACCTTTAACTGTGTCCATGGTCCTCCTTGGATGCCAGGACTGCCCCAGTGCCACCGCCAGAACCCGCTCCCCCAGGGGCTCCTGGGCTGGGGAGAAGCGAGCGCCGAGCACCATCAGCCTGGAGCAGCAGAGCTCACAACAGAACGACCACCACAAACACAACCTGGTGCCCGCTGCAAACACATTGGCAAAAAACGTAACTACGCCATAGGAGTTAATACTAACTTTATTATACAATATTTAAAAAGTCATTTCTCTACCTGTCCCCTTATAGCTTGCATTGTGCTGCAGTTAATTTGCTGAACCTGCAAGAATAAGTGCTTACTTCTGAGAAGGACAAGCAATTTAATCTTAAAAAGAAATACACATTTAATGACAGCAGATTTGATAAAAATGGTAGTTTTACAATTGCTTTTAAATAGTCAGATTCCTCCAAAAGTCAATCGCACTACTGGCTTCACTCTTGTGATACTCATAGCAAGGCAAGCCAGAACAGAACAGGCTGAACACGTTAATGCTCTTACACCAACATTCACGTACAGCATCCAAGCAGAGTTAACACAGAGCCAAGCAGAAGGTAATAAAAAGGCCAAATTCAATTAAGTTCATACAAACGCTAAACTAATCTCACTTTGAATTTCACGTATTTCTGAAGCAACTACTTCACAGTTCCAATCCGTTCAGCAGCTCCTCTCCCAGGACCGCGCGCAGGGGAGCTACGAGGGGCATCGGCTGCTCCGCGGAGGGGAAGGGGCTCCTGGCACAGCCAGTGCCCGCCGGCTCCGCGCGTCTTTGTGTGAGAAGTGGTGGCTTCGAGGGAGGCGAGGACACAGCCAGAGGACCGGAGGGTGTTCTGCAGTTTCTTGCTTACTCTGCTCTTACTCCACAGTCTCTGAACCGATCACACGTGGATCACGGGAGCACCTGGCACAGCTGTCAGAGTAAGGCTTTATGGCACAAAGATACTTCACGTTCTGATTTGAAAAATGAGGTTCCAGTCTCGGTATCAGGAATCGCTGCTAGCAATGAAGGGCCCAGAGAACCTCAGGGTCCATCTTCGTATCACAGTGACATTAAGAGGGAACTGGATTGCCTCTCTCCCTCCCCTAAAATGGAGGCTCAAGAAAAACTGACGCAGCACCCTTCTTACTCCTGCCTTTTCCTATTTGCCTTCATCTTTTAGGTCAATAACACAGTAAGCAACTTTGAGATTTTTCCAGAGATACCAACACTATACGCAACAAACCAAAATTAAGCAAAGTGCCCCATTACTATAATACAAGTTTAGGAGGAAAGAGATACACTACCCATAAATTAAGAGTACCCTTTAGCAACCTAGGAGCAGCCTCTTCCCAACCAACACAGCTGCTTTATGATCTGCACAGAAAATCCTCCTCGCAGCTTGGTCTATTTCCTATCACGTTTCCCAACCCAGTGCTGGCACAGAGTTTACGTTATAAGCTCTTCTATTTTACAACACAACAGAGTATTTACAAGCCGCCAAGAGACATGTTTTTAACCTAGCAGGCAAGCTTTGCAATGCTGCACTGTACTGCAAGAGAAGTACCAGATTTGCAAGAGGTGTTCAGGAAGTGGCGATAGAATTTAACGTGCAAACGCTTCTGAGAAACCTCTCCAGTCCCGTGCTTCAAACATCTGCTCAAAGAAAACACAGCAGAGCACAGAAAGCTGGTTCTTACGCTTCCTGCTTCACCAGCTTTAGAAACAGCGAGGCTCTGGCTGCTCGTTGGTACCCCTTCCTGTCCCCGGACTGAGCACAGGAGGCTACAGCTGCTCCTCAACATACGCCTGGGTCTGCCCCGCTACTCGGAGCTGTGAGTGGGAAGTTCTCTGCCCGCACAGGGCAGGATCCAACCCCAGCAAACGCTACCTGAAGGCCAGCAGAGCTGCCCTCCTCCAGCCATCCCACCTGTGCTCCCACCTGGCTCCTCCTCACCGCTGCGCAGCAGTGGGTGCCTGTGCTTTTGCTGCAGCTGCGGCGCTCTCTGCCCCAGTAGGGATCTCGCCGGAGCACAGAGCAGCAGCAGCTCCCCAGGTGAAGGCACAGCACCTGCCGTGCTGCTCCCCTTCCTGGGCACGGGACCGCACCGCACACAGGTTTCATCTGGCGCACGCAGTCCCAACTTGTACGCAACCCCTTGATGCTGCCGATCCAAGCGCGGGACTTGTGCATCCCCAGGGCAGGGGAGGATCTCCCAGCAAGAGAGCAAAGTGGAAGCTGAGGGCTGAAAGTAAAGGATTTTCCTCATTCAGAGCTGGGCTTTACAGATGACGTCCATGCACTCCTCCTACATTCTGTAGCTGAGCGTAATCTCCAACAGCCACAAGTGGCAACCGCTAGCGTCATGTGTTTGTTTTCAGAAGGGACAAGCTTTGGGGAAAAATGATATCCTTACCGCTGGTACCACACGCCTCTCCTCGCCCTTGGCACACTGTAGAGAGGACGACTGGAGTAATCTTTATGCACAGTATTGGGTATAAACAACTGCTCCCTTCGGTGCAGAGTGACGATGACAACACGAGCCACGTGAACGGACTGCCTGTCCGCAAAGCGAAACACATAATCCCTTGTTCAGTGATCCGAGTGTTGCAAATCATGCGTACTCACAGGGCCAACCAATATCAACTAAATTTAAAAGCCAGACCCAATACAAGGTTCCAATGTTTGTTTATATAAAGGATCTTCTATTCCCACAGTTATGATTGCTGCAATTTAAAATGTTATCAAAACATCGGCACGCGGGAAGGGCTGATTTCAGGAGGTCACATCCAAGCCACAGAGCTCCCGGGTAGCAGCGCACAGTGAGGGCAGCGACCACGACACCCAAACCCAACTCCAACAACGAGGGCTGGGCACGGGCCCTGGTCCCTCACTGGCATCTACTGCTCCAGCAGGATGCTGTCTCCTCCTTTTAGGTCATTAGTTCAAAGTCCAAACATTTAAATGGGTCTTTTTTTTTTTTTTCTCCTTTTTTATCGCAACAGAACTAGGAAGATGGTATCAGAGTATCAGATCCAAATTTGCTATCGGGTAGTTGGAGCTGGAAGTAGTTTCTTTTGGTCACTACTACTCAGAATAGTGATAAACGGTGATGAGCTGTTCTCCTACCCATTCCCTTCAGTGAATGGTCCCAAGTATTGGAATCAGCTGATATTGATTTTCCCTGATCCACAATAGGTCCAGACCAGAATATTTAAACAGGTTTAGAGGTGCGCAGTATTAAAAATATCCTTAAGAAACACTGAGGTAGACTGCACCAGAACAGGACAAAAATAATCCCACCACATCCACCTGCCAAGATTTTACGGATACAAATTTACATGTTCTGCGTGTTTAAGAAAACGATTTTTTTGTTGCCTTTTTTTTTTTTTTTTTACAGTGTTCTATATATTAAAATAAATAAAAAATTTCTAATAAGAAAAACTTCTCTTCCTTAGAAAAGTGTGAGAATATGTCTTCTTTCCTGCAGTGTAGTATAGAGCTGCTAAACAGTTACTACTTTGTAAAGCAGAGGAAATGTAAACGAGGCCTTTCCGAACTGAAGGATCTTACCCATGCCTGCACTGGGTGGTTTCCCCCTAACTCCGTGAGCCACCTCTGCCCTCTGCCTTCCACCCCTGTCCCAGTGGCCACCACCCCACTGGTGCCTGCAGGCCGAGTGGAGCTGCAAGAGGTGCTTCCTGCAGACCCCGGCCCATTCCAGTCCCTCACGGGGAGGAGGCAGCAGCACAAACCAAAAGCCACGCTGCAGCCTGGTGTCCCCACTCCCACCGAGTCAGGACCTTGTTTTTTTCCCAGCAGAGAGAGCAAAGTGGCCCTTGGACTTCTCCAGGAGGAATAGCAGAGGTCTGAGCAATCTCTCCCCTGGTAAAACCAGCTCCTGCATGAAACGGCCTGCGACATCGATCATCTTCATTTCTCGCTTTAGCGCTTCTCCCTGCCAGCACGCTCCCTCATCGCAACGAGACACGCTCAGTTTCACAATGATTTTCTAACATTTTGTGCTTATCAGCTCTGTCTTTATGCAAACAGCAGCAAAACAAAGCACGGTCCAAGAGACGAAGGTTGACATCCCGAAGAGCTGAAAGCAGCTGCACTGCTCACGCACGCGCCCTGGGAGAGGCGCAGGGATCTCAGGAACACATCGGAGGCCCGCAGGCAGCACTGAGGCCGGACGCCTGAGCAGCAGCAGACAGGCAGCAGGGAGCTGACCACAGTCACGTTCAGCTTCTGCTTCACGTGCAGAGCCAAGAGCCTTGTGCTCGCCTCCCTTCAGCTGGTCTTTAGTGTCTTTTTTTTCGGTTAGAGTTCTTACTCGGCCTCTCTGGTTGCTTCTCCTGCGGCACAACGCGAGGGATGAGGGGGCAAACACGTAGCAGGACCCCGGAGCAGGACGTTCCGGTGTCCTTCAGCCCCCCAACGACCAAGGTAAGTCCCAACTACTTTGTCCCAGGGCTTCACGTGGAGCCAGCTGACTGCACGGTATAAATCTTGAAACTGTTTTATAAAGCCTTGTCAAGTATAAACTTAACATGTGCTTCATAGCTCCTAAAAGGGTAATCAGCTAAAATTAGTTCATTCTGAAATCTTTGGACCACTTTAAGACCAAACAATCCCCCAAATTCTCCCCTCCCCGAAAGGACCATAAACAGTCAATAATTTATATGAAGTTAAAATTTAAACTACAGACATTTTAAATATATTACAACAAACAATATATATACTCAATGCTGTAAGGACAGAAAACTCGGTATCTCAGGTCAGGGGACTCCTACGTTGTTTGGTCTTGAAAGTACCCATAAATCTCAGATTTCTGCTCCTTTGGCTCCCAGCACATTTTCCTCATTTGTTAATGAGAGAAAACCTACTCCCAAGAGTCCTCAGTATAAAAATAATCTGTTTAGGATTCAGTCACTCCAGGGAAATGGGAAAAAGATAAGTACACACTTCCGAGAAGAGGAAAGCTTCTGTGAGAACATACAAAACTTATGTACAAAAAAGAAGTGTATATTTTGCTATACATATACACCCCACATATATATACTGCACACCACGCACACGCACGCACCCTTGGGATTTAACCCATTTAAAAAGTATGAAAGCAGCAGCTATTGGTCAATCTGAGGATCTGGCGCGTCCGACTGATGTGTTGAATCCTTCAGCTGTAGTGAAGAGTATGCCTGAAAGCCTGGAATTCTACTGGAAATGCTTTTGTCCTGCAGAAGTTTTGTTCCGCACCGTTACGCTGTAGCTCAGATACCAGCAAATTTCACGTCTTTTGTTGGCAAACGTGGATGCTCCTCCTTTAGTTTAACTTACACGGTCGCTTCCTGTTTTGAAACCATGGTTACAGAAAGGACAGCAGCCATGGAAACCTTTTCCATTTATGTTCACAGATAAGTCCACTGACAACCAGTCAACTTGGCAAAAAAAAAAAAAAAAGTATTAATCATAAGATGATTAAAAATTTGAAGAGTCTGTAGATGTGTGTCATACACTGTGGCAGCAATAACAAGAGTCCTGAGATTTGTGGAGGGGGAAAAAAAGCAGACAAAACCCTTGGGTCAAACAGGAAGCGTTAGGAGGGACTTGATCGGGGCATGGAGAGAATCCGCCCGTTTTTCTTGCCACCGTTCATGTGAGTGTAAGGTATGTGCTCTTCATAGTTCCCCTTGAGGGCCATGGAGGGTCCATTGTCCCGCCCCAGGACTTTGTCCCTCTGCGTGTACGAGGAGGGATCGAGGGGAATGCTCTCCATGTTCTCGAAGTCCATCTCGTACTCCTCCGTTTCCAGAGGTTTGTTCTCCTCACTGTAGAAGAACGAGACCTCGTGGAAGCTGGGGTGCAAGTCCTCCTTCAGCATCTCGATGATCTCAATGAAGGTGGGGCGCATTTTGGGGTTGTATTGCCAACACATCTGCATCAGGCTGTGCCTAGTTGAGGACAAAGGAGTCAGGGAGAGGAAAAAACAAATCCACACAGGCAGAGCTGGCACAGACCAGGACTGGTATCCATGTCAGACCGCCCATCACGCATGCTACTCCTTTGAACCCCATGTTCCCACCCAAACTGAGCTGTTTGTTCTCTTCCCGTCTCCGTTTTTGCCTCTAGATCCTCACACTGCTTTTTCTCTATTTCTGTCTAGATCAAAAATTCCTTCCAATTCCTTCAATTGTTCTTAACTCGGCTTCCGAAGGAAACAAGGCTGCAGTTCACGTACTCTGTGAATGTGCGCACGCACTTAGAGCCCTCTCACAATTCTTTAATTCATTCAATTTTAATTTTAACTCAGCCTGAAAGATAACAAGTTCCTTAATCTTCAAGGAAAATAGCAGGCTGTGCAGAAGAGAGAGGTCCTGTAAACAACCCACCCAAAAGAAAGGCTGCAGCGAGATGTCGTATGTTACCATACGCCACGAAGAAAGAACTTACACATCTCCTAGGTACAAAAAAAGTTGTAAACTGCAGTTTGTAACTGGCCACAAGAGACAACTGTCCAGGACAGCAGGCTTTTTTCACAAGGATACTCACAAAACATGTTTATTTTTTGAGTCTGGAAGTGCTGTTTTGGCCAGAAGTGGGCTGGCGTAAGAAGTTACTGGAAACAGGGAGTTACTATTAGCCTTGCCTTTTCCAACAAGGGCTCCTTCCCCTCACCTCTGCACGCTGCTGCAGCAGTGGCTCCTTACACCCCTCTACCAAAACACCCTAGCTCAGGTTAAACACTTGGTAACAGGATTTATTTTTCTTAATTACTCTGAAGCAGCTTAGGAAGCATCTGGCTAGGCAGCCGCGCTGGCAGGTCTGAGGATGCAGCAACCTCCAAAGCGTGAACATCACGAGCAGCTGCAGACATTAACCCTTAACCCTGGTACAGGAGAATGTCTGGCTTCAGTTTGTAATCCTCTTTGCAAGGTGTTTTGCACTCTGTCTCTATACAGTGCCCTCTTTTCTCCCTAAACTTGCAGGCAGCCTAACCTTGTACTTTGAGTGGGAAAGGAGCCTGCAGGAGACATGAAAAGGCCTCGGACACGATAAGCAGCTTGGGGCTTAGCAGAGCATTCTCCTACCTCTCCCTCCTCATTAGTCATAAATTGGATTTCTGAAAATCAGCAGTAAAGAGTTGCTGTAATTCTCAAGACTATTTACGTAGTACAGAGAGATGAATTAGAGGAAACCTCAGCAGACTGTGGGATTAACAAACTGCTCTCCAGCCTTTATAGCCCCAAGGATGCAGACTGTGGCCAGGCTCTGCCCCATGACACAAGCCAACGGCCATCCACTAGTGCAGCTTGGTCAGCTGGCACCCGCTTTACTACTTACAGCCTCTCTGGGCAGTTGTCCGGCTGATCCAGGTATCCTCCATCCATTACAAACTTTAGCACCTGTTCGTTGGAGAGTCCCTGGTACGGCTGCTCTGCTAAACTGCTTATTTCCCAAAGGACAACACCAAATGACCTAAGAAAGAAACAAGACTCCTGGTGAGAAACATTCTGAAGACCTACAAGTGATAGCCTTATTTTGGAGAACGCATACTTTAAAAGAATACTACTATATTTTTAAGAGGGTTTCAAAACAATGCTGTGTTTTGTCTGTACTCAGAAGAAGTTAGCAACTCACAGTGTAAACAACATGCATTAAAACGGTGAGTTCTTGATTCATCTGGGATTGCAGAGTACAACTTACCACACATCTGAGTAAGTAGTGAAAACACCGTCCTTTAATGATTCGGGTGCCATCCAGCGCACAGGCAGAAGTCCTTTGCCTCCCTTACGGTAATAATCCGTCTCGTAGATATCTCTGGTCATGCCAAAATCTGAGAAAAACAATTGGGATGTGTTAAATGTCTCTCCTTCCATGCTGCTTTTACTGTGCAACATCTCTAGATGAGTGTTTCCTTCCTTTGACGCCAGGCTATTTTCATACACCCAGTAAGCCTCCTATGCAACTTCCAGCAATTTGTCACCTCGTGATTAACATTCAAAACACTTTCCTTTTCCCTGCATTTTTTCTTTTGTGAACTACTACAGAGCTGTGATAGAGACTCCAGAGTTGCAATTTTTAGTGACAGCTTCTAGTCTAAACATTATTTTTATTCATCTCCTTTAAGGAAAACAGAGCCGTCTTTGCCCTTAAATCCCACTGCCTTGGCTTTAAGTCCAAAGAGGTCTGAAAAACCACCAAGCCTTGAGGTTTCAGTTTATTTTTACATTTTGTATTTACTTACTTCCAAATGGATTTGGGTTAAAAACTGTTTCTTGTGGAAGACAAATGACTTTTTAAAAGGCACCTGACCTAGTGACAGGGTTAGCGAAGCTTGCTTTGTTGTGCCAAACACCTTCTTTGTCATAATACTCATATTACAAGTATTATGACAGAATAGAGGTGATTAGAGAAGTTGCTCTGGTTTTAAGGGAGACATTTTTCTTACTGAAGCCCATACAATTCTTTTACAAGGAAGAAAAACAGAAAAGTTTGCTGCATTTCCAAAGGGAGCCAGTGGAAATCACCGGTGTTCGCTGCATTGCTCTTGGGTTTTATACACGTAAGTATGACCCACAGAATTCTCTTCTGACCACATACTACATACCTCCAATTTTTACAGTGAAGTCCTCTGCAACCATACAGTTACGAGCTGCAAGATCTCTGTGCACAAATTTTTTGGCATTCAGATAGGCCATACCATCAGCGATCTCTGCAGCCATCTGGATCATTTCTCTCAGCGTTGGCGGTGGACGGCCAGGGTTATTCTACGATAAATAAACAAGTATTAAAAACCAAATCTAGTTAGCCTGTTACACATGTACTGCCTCTCTCCTGTCTGTACCTCGGCATCAGGTCTCAAAGAGCGAAGGTAGCTTTTCAAATCTCCATGTGCCATCAACTCCATGACCACCAGCGTAGGTTGTCCTTTTGAGACCACCCCGAGGAGGCGAACCTGGAAAATAAATGAGACTTTTCCTCAAGGTTGTGTCCAAGCACACTGGGCAGAGTCCAGCTATGAGAACCGGGTGTTATAACAAAGCCAACACCCTGAACAAGAGCTTGGAACGGCACCACAAAGCCACTTAAGGCTAAGAAGTTTTGAAAGAGCAAATGTGAAATGATGCAAGCAGATTCACACATTTTATAAAATCTGACAAGTCAAGATCCCAGCTCTTTTGATCAACTGCTTCTGCAGAAAGGCTGCTTTTGTAGGCTGAACACCAAGCTTTGAAAGCGTTAGAGAAATATTAGTTATGTGATGGGACTTTCACTTGCTAATCATCTGAGGCAGCCAGCGATGCTTACCACATGATGGCAGCTGAACCCTTTCATCACAGAAGCTTCATTTAAGAACTCGATGCGCTCGCGGAGGCTGGCTGATTCGTTAACGGTTTTCACAGCTACTCGAGTCTCTGGCTCTCCCTTCACAATGTCCTTGGCAATTCCTTCATATACCATGCCAAAGGAGCCTTGTCCCAGCTCTCGGAGGAGAGTGATCTTCTCTCGTGGAACCTCCCATTCATCAGGGACATAGACTGCCAAAACAGAGGGAGACATTTTCTGAATTGAGCAACTGTCTTTCAAAAGCCATTTCTGCAGTACAACGTGCCACAGGATATTGTGGTATGTAAAGACAACCGGAAAAACTCCATAAAGAAAAAGCCAGTCCCATCCTGTTGCACTGTCTGAACTGACTACACGAGAAATAAGGCACAAAGGAAAGCCCCCACTGCTCTCACCATCACTGGCGCTGAGATACTCGGGGTTAGAAGATGCGTAGAGTGGCCCAGTTGGTCCTTCGGTTTGTCTGAAAGGGAAACACAAATCCTTTAGCACATTTGCAGCTTTTGACATGTTACAAATGAAGGCAGTTTGATTAATTCCCAAAGTGTGCAATAAATAGCAACTATCCAATTTCCAAAGGCACAAAAAGTATTTCCTAAGCTAAATTAATGTTATAATCATCATCTAAATTAGAAAATAAACAATTTCAACAATTAAAGAAAACCTTTACATACAAGTTTTGCTTGTTGTGGTAAAAACGATGTGAAGTTGCACTCACCTCTTTTTCACAAGAACGTAAGCAGCTCCAATAATTCCAGCAATTATTATGGCAAAAATAATCGGAACGATTATAACAGCAATATTAGGCTGAGCATTCACTAAGAGAGAAAGAGAGAGAGAATTGGAGGTATTACATAGGTCTCAAAATCCAAATCTTCTGTATAAGATCTCTTCCTTGACTAAACAAGAAAGAGCAGGAAGTCCAGAGGCTGCTTCAGGTAGAGAATGCAGAGCTGCTCAGAACAAGAACTCAAACTGCTGTTCAACAGCTAAATTAAGAAAATGGACACATTCCTAATTGCAGTTTCTGGAAAACAGATGTATTGGTAAACATTTCATGCCCCTCTACAGGTCCCTGTGCACTCCTTGCTAAGCCCCACCATCTTCCAACTGAAATCTGGGTTCTGATCAAAAAGATGATGTTGAAAACCAAAGAACTCACAATAATCAGCCACGTAGAAATAGGTAGGTTCTGTCCATGAGCCATTTCCAGCCAGCGACGTAGCTCGTATACGGACACTGTAGTTTCCAGGCTGCAGTCCACGCAGTTTGCAGCCCTGCTCACTGGCAAAGTGCTTACGGGAAACGCAGTAGTGTGCTTCCTGCAGGAGGAGGGAAGGGGCAGGCTGTGTTACGCTACCTCTGCAACAACCTCGGGCTCTCTAACAGCCCACTAGGATTTCTTCCTCACCTCCTTCACTGGCAAATGTATACAAATAGGGTTTTCACATGCTCGGGTCTTTTCCAAGATAGTGGCTTGTCCTGGATTTACATTTTATAGTTTAGAGTAGTTCAGATTACACACAGCATATGCCATTTGCTGTACTAGAGCTCAGCCCTGAAATCTGACCTCAGCTGGCAAGCCCTCCTGCCCACACGGCACTGGCATGCTGCGCAGGCACTAGGGCTGCTCATAGGCTCTCCGGCTGCTCAGAGCTTTAACTTCTCTAAGCAATTTACATTTACATGTATATTTTCTGTCCTTCTGTGAAATAAAATTTCTAAGAATGTCCATGCAGAAAGTTAGCAAAATAAATATTGGATGAATGGGCACTGTAGAGTGAAGAACCCAGGGAAAGGCAGAAAGGTCTCTGCAAGTCCAGCCTCTAGCTGTTACCTTTCAGCAGCCTCCCCAGCACCACCACTACCACAGCTTGTAACAAGAGGGACTGAAGCATGGAGCTACTTCTCCAAACATGCTGTGTTAAGGAAGAAGCAGAAATTCTCACCTCTGTCTCCCCAAGACGTCCGTAATTCACTTCATAAAGCACAATAAGACCGTTTGGCTCCTTTGGTTCCTGCCACTTCAAGTGCACGGTATTTTTTTCAACCAGTTCATGGGTAACTGGACCAACGATGTCATCGGCCTTAGCTAAAATCAAAGTCATGATTAATAATAGTTTTCTTTCATGTCTTTTGCAAAATGCAAAACTGACAATACTTCATCCATCATCTTCTCCTACCAGGACATACAGAGAGCACAGTCCGTGATGTTTCTGCAAAGCAGCTGGCTCTCATGGGAAAAGCAGCATTTTGAAAACAGCCATCAACCCAGAGCAAAGCTCAGGAAGCTAATTACCTTCTGGCATGGTCCTGGCACTGACATAAGCTGCAACGCTGCATCGAGATTCCTGAGCGTCGTGGTTACAAGCGTGGAGCTCAATACGATACCCTGTGAAATGCCGCAGGCCTGAGATAACCAAAGACTCCTTAAACTTAACTTTTTCAAAAGGTTTCTGTTCCTCTGAATTCTCAGATGCAGCTGCAGAAGAGTTTGGAGAGGATGCAATGGTGGGTATCACCACAGTGGCATTTGCTACAGAGCCGAGGTCTCTTCGTTTTCTTGATGGCCTATTAAATAATGCATTAGAATGTTATTTGTTATACCCAATATAAATGCATCCACCTGAAAAGAAATAGTTAAAATGGGAGAGCTCAGAGTGCAATCGAAAAGTCAAATTCAAGACCCACATTTGCAATACAAGAAAGAAATTCCAGTGCACACGGCTTTTCAGAATTACATATCCCTGAGATGATTTCCCTGCACAACTGTGTACAGGAAAAAAAAAAAATCCAGGCCTAAGGTATTTGCTTGGGAATTCAAATTCTCCTGAACCTTCTCAGCAGAATAGAGCTCTAGCAGGCTGCCTCGTGGATGCCTTGTACACAGTGTTGCAATGCTTGGGAGTTCATCTCCTACACATTCTAGCTTTGAACAAATGAGGTCATATCACAGCCCCCAACTCTGACGACCTTGGATGTTCCACATATTCCGAGTGTCATAAATTTGCATTTATGAAGCGTAAGACCAGTTTCATAGCTCACTGGAATACATCTGCTGCTTTGAACCCTAATTCTGAACTTATCTATTTCGACAGATAATTTTAACCTTTTCCCCAGAGACCAAATTTATTAAGATCTTTCCAGCAGGCGCATTTAAGACACGGATTCAGACTACAAATTAGCTGTGCTGTTTGTTAACCAAATATTGCTTCTCAAGTTATTGCACTTCAGTCTGAAAATCAATTTTTTGCTGCCGTAAAAATAGAATCGGCCCCGTGATCTTGTCAACTCCCCTGTTTGCAAGTGAGCGCCACTAGCCAACTTTCATGTCAGATTTCATCAGTAAATAAACAGAATCAGTTCAACGGAATTAAAAACCGTTCAGCACGTAATTCCTTGGGAACAAAAGGAACAAGAATCAAAACAGAACTCCTGCCACACATCCACCGCTAGGAATTCCAGGTTGGGAACCAACCAAGGCGGTAAATCAGTAACAGTATTTGGTTACACAAAAGGAATTAATGCCATCTGAAAGCAGAGCGGTGTATTTTAAGGGGATGATGATCTTTGTTTGTGTGTGCATGTGTGTGCAGCTATTAAAGGGTACAAAGAGTGACCTGAACTGAACCCACACTTGAGGCATCTCCAGTCTCTAAAAATGTAACAAGCTGTTGAAGCAAATCCGTGCTGCTGAACTGAACTTTCCACTGCCACCCTCTGACTATCGGGCAAATGATTGGCGCAGTACAGCTTTGGCAGGTGACTGCACAGGCTGGGTGTTTGTCTGCCACCCCCAGCCCCACTTCCTGATGTTCCTTATGCTCAAACAGCAAGCGCAACCAGCCCGAAAGCTGATTTTAAGATTTCCTCCAACTAAACACTGGGTTGGACGCAACGACGTGAGCACATTCGTCCACTTGATGAAAAAACATGATGCCAAACAGCAGGTTTGGCAGAGCACATTCCAGCTTCTCGTTTTCTCTTCCCCTAATTACTAATTAACTCCAGAGACATCATTTTGGAGTTGCTGTTATCTCAGCCTGCGCATTGTTCTGAACAGCGTCCCCTAACAATAGGGCAGAGTTCAGAGACCCAGGTCTGGGTCATGCCAACTCCCTCCCTTGGAAGCAATTCTTACAGTCAACCAGGATCTTGTTTGGACTTCAAAACAAAGCTGCACGCCACTGTTTACAAAGTGTGGATTCAGCTGTTCCTCATGTTCAAGAGAATTTTGTTTTTCACAAGTAAAACAGTAATTTGACTACTGATGCAACACAGAGTAAAACACAAGAATAACTTCTTCCTCTGGTAACAGAAAACAAGAAAAGCTTCTGAAGCTGTAAACACAATCTTCCCATATTTATTATCCTAGATTTGCAGCAATTTTCTTGCCAACTTCGTTGTATTTTCAAACAATTTGTGCCTTCCCTAGTTGTTCCACTGCAACTTCCATTAAGATTCATGGCCATTTCAGCAGCTCCAACGACCTTCCCTACAAAATGCCCAGTCTCAGATTCCTTCTCCCCCTACCATCAGAGACAGTCAGCACATGTGAGGGCTTCTGGTTCAGGAAAGGATGAAGTGAGAACCCATCACATGCAACATGAGGTGAGCTGAGGGATTTTAAAAATGCATTAGCTAGCTCAAACCAAGTTTTTCCACACACCTGAAACTGGCACAGGCTGTCATTGCTGCTACAAGAGCAGCTTGCCTCCCTTCCCCCTTGTGCTGGCACAAGCATTTATGTATTTGTCTACACAATTAATCGGACTGGACTGGGAAACCTAGAAAAAGAAGTTGCTTTTAATGTGAGTCATTTCTCAGACCTGTAGCCCATTAATGTGTGTAATGACACGAGCGTGTGTGTGACAGAAAGAGAGACAGAAGGACAGAGACAGAGAGAAGGGTGAGACTGCTGCTGCAGTAGAAATGGTTGAGAGTGTACATGAGAACACATCCTGAATAGCAGCCATTTACCTCCCCTCTGCCTCTCAGGACTTTTATTACTTTTGAAATCTTTCCATGCTTTCCACAGAGTCATGGAGCAGCTGAGGTTGCAAGGCACCTTCCAAGATCATTTAATCTGACCCCTGCACAACGCAGGGACAGCTAGAGCAGGTTGCTCAGGACCACATCCAGCTGGGTTTTGAGTACTTCCAAGGACTGAGACCCCACAACCTCCCTGAGCAACCTGCTCCAGCGTTCAATCCCCCTTTTGCTCCAATCTGTGCAAAACTTGTTCCGATATAAGAGCAAATAACACAGGAAAGAAGAAACAAAGCATCAGCTTCTGATGGCCACTTTGTTCAGCTACAAAGGGAGGTTGCAAAGCAGGTGGCGTAAAGATACCCACTGGCTCCAACTAGGAACGTGGCTATGGCAAGAGATGTTTAGACACTTCTAGTTTGCTTTGCCTATGCCAGAGCAAATCAGCCCACAAGACTTGTGACAGTATCTCCTGGGGTAGCTAGTTAGCTGTGCACATGGGGAAGGAACAACTTCTGGGATTTCTAGCAGGGTTCTGAGAAAGTCAGGTGAGATCAGACCCGGACCAAAGCACGGCATGGCAGATCTGTGGACAGCCTCGTACTTGGCTGGATACTGCACAGGGATCCAGCAGCTGGGAACAGGACAGAGGGGGAAAATGGTACGTGGAAAACAAGGAGACAACACATAGGGGGAGTCACTCCTCAACTGCACTGTCTTCTGCACCCTGCCACCTTCTGTCCTCTGCTGGCCTCGTCACTGAAGTTCCTCCCTGCGACCAGCAGAAGGCTTCTTATCTCCAGGGGTGTCCACACTGCACCTCGAGAGAGGCTGAGACTATCAGGAGCATCATAAAAGAGAACCTGAAGTAAAACACACTTCATGCTCAGTTGCCAGGCTTTAGACAGGCTGCCCTTTGAACAGGCAATAGGCACAGTATTTACAGGAAAATTCTAATTTATGTTGCCACAGCCTGAAACTTGTTAGAGAAGAGAGGATGCAAGTCAGCAGGACGGTATCTTTACTGTTCACTTGTAACAGAAGAGGCTTGTGCTAAAAAGATTAATTAGCCTGGGGAAGTAGAGATTTCTTCCTTAGCAGGCTGACAAGGTGGCACATCCTGGTGATTGGTTTCTTCCTAAAATACATACCCCAGAAACTGGCCTGAGAAGCATCCTGGGCTGGCTGCACAATAAAATAAAAATAAAATCAAATAAAAACAGGAAAAGGAAAAAGAGGAAAAAAAAAAAAGTAATCAGATTGTCAGTATTGTTTGCCTACATCAGGAGGAGTTTGGCTTCTGTACATGGCTTGTTTCTCCTCTGCTTTTAAAGATGGTGTGTCCTGCCAGCACTTTGCACACTGAAACTTGTCCTGATCAGCACTAAAAGCAAAGAAATAGCAAACGGAGTGACTGCACAAACTTCCATGTGACAACTGCAGGCATCAAATCGGACTCCCAAAGAAGAGACACTGCCTACAATTCACTCAGTTATACAAAAACACTTTCTGAAGAAAGGTAGCTTTTGTCAAGCAGCTGCAAGTAAATGTTTAATAGCTATGGGCAGGAGGCAGAGAACAAATTTAGAGCACAAAATACATGACAGTGAAGAGGGTAAATCATTACAGCCTAACCTGATTCCCAGTGCTTCCTCTGTAAGTTGCATATGAAGTGTGAAGACATTCAACACCACTTAATGTGACACTGTGTGTGCCATTCAAAACAGGACATTCACCACCCACAGCACTTGCATTCCTCATGGTATTGGAAGTATTTCCCAGACTAAGTGCAAGGAAGACCGCAAATACCGCGCTAAAGGACAAGGCTGTGGCATGGTAAAACTCCCCTTTCTTTTCAACTGGATGAGAAGCTAGATCATTAAATTTTAAGACAGAAAAAAATGGCTATTTTTGGCCTCACACAAGTTTAAGTGAGATACAGGGTTTTAGCTATTTGTTGAGGATTCGCCCTTTATTCTCAGGCTGAGGAGAATTCAGAGACAGGAAATAAGAGAGGAATCTTCCAGATCTGTAATACCATTACTTGTAAGCACTCAGCTCTCACCAGCCTCCGACACACATTCAGCTGGACTTGACGGTCCCACGGAATCCCAGACAGACAGGCAACATGACAGTGTCCAGCCCCATACTTTTGTTTAGTAACCAATTACACTTCCCTACCCCAGACTACGTGGGCAGCAAGTTTTGCTATTCATACCTGGGGACGAAAACCTCGTTGTGAAGGTAGTTCTCAAACGTCTTGCGGAAAGCAGACTCTTCCAGCTCCTTTTGTATTTGAGAGTCTGTTTTAGGACAGGAACAACACTCTCCGCTGACATCCTCATTTTCACTTTGATTGTACTTCTGAGGGTCTTCAGATTCAAAAGGAGGAGACCACGTCCTTGAGGGCAGCTTTAATCCTACGGACAAAACAATTCTATTATCACTCATGCTTGGCATGCCAGAAGCATATGTTTGATCTTAGCAAGATCCAAAACTAGAGTACACAGGATTCATAGCACATTTAGGCCTCCCACGGTCTAGGCTCATCTAGGGTTGAGCAGTGTTCCATCTCCTACAACAGGGCCTTGATTCAAAACTATGCTAGCTCTGAAATAAAGCTCAAGTGCTGCTGTCACCAGAGTCCGACCCCTGTTCACCTCAGTTTGGGTAACACAGAGCTGCAGAGAGTCTGAGAGTCCTCAGTGAAACTCTGAATCCTGAAATAATTCCAAAACCTGAAGCACAAGGTGCCTTCAAAAATGAACTTAGCCACTGATCTCCAGAAACACTGCAGTGTTTTACTTTACTGCCTCCATAGCTGCTATTAAACTGGTTACTCAGTTTAAAAAGAACAAGCGCAGAAGGGAGATACACAAATAAAAAATACATGTTAGATTACTTCATGAAAAAATGGTTTTGGAGATCGTTTGCATGTGACTTGGCAACAGTGACTAATGTATAATGTGACTGAACAGTGGGAGAATGCAGCTACATGGCAGCCTGTTTCTTGAACAACAGACTTCAGAACAGCAAAATTAGGCATCCTGAGCACCTCCAGGGTGTGTGCAAAATCTCCATACAATGCTGAGATAGCTCCACCATCTGGAAGGCCTGAAAGAAGGGCACAGAGCAAGAAGTGGAACTCACCCTTTAGGCAGTAATCGAGTTCATACAGCTCACTGTCTTCGGCCTGCTGCTGCCAGAACACCAGGTAGTGCGTGATGTTCCCGTTGGGCTCTGACGGTGGCTTCCACTTCAGAATAATTTGGGATGAAGAGTTGGAAACAGATATCGGATCTAACGGAACTGACGGAACTGGGTGGGTGGAAAAGAGACAAGAGGTCACTTCCACTGCTCTGAGAGAGACCTCGACAAACACAGGGAACATTTCCATTTCCCTGGGAACAAGCAGTGCTCTCCGTAGTAGGCCCACTGACACCCAACAGTCCTGCAGCAGGACACACCAGTGTACACAAGCCCTACACACAGCATGTGGAAAAAGTGCACACTGGCACCCCCTCCCCATCCAGGGAAGCATACAGTCTTCCATTTCTTTAGGAATACCTTCCTACAGATATAGAGCAGTGATGTCAGGGGAAAAGTTTCATAGATATGGGACTATCGTGACTACCAGCCAGAAGACTGAAGGTCTGTTTTGCTTTAATATTTGCAATATAACATTAATTTAAAATAATACTGACCAGTAGCATTGGTCTGGACATAGATGATTTCACTCTTTGCACCGTATGTCCTTCGTTCATCTGAGAAGGTGACCAGGGTTTTAACAAACACAGCATATTGTGTCCATGGCTTTAAGCCCCTAAGAAGCCAGCCTGGCTGGGCCTGGGCTTTGGGCTCGTTTGACCGTGGCGGTGGGTCAACATCCACAACTGTCCAGCTATTTGACCCACAAGCATCTTGTCCATCGAACTCTGTCACATTTTGGTAAGGACTTAAAAAAGAAAAAAAAAAAAAGGCTCAAATTAACAAAATCCTAATTTCAAGCTTCTGGGAACATCATTTCTAAAGACATCCACAAAAGTTACAATCCCTTACACCTTGCAGAAAGTCTGATCATTTCTCCTATGCATACTGAAAATGAAGCACAGGGGCCTTTGTAACCCAGCCTCCTAACAGCATCACAGATCAGGTACCACCCCACAGCCGATCCATACGACTAAATCTCAGCTAATTATTTTCAGCCTAATGGAAACCAGTTTGGTAACCTTGATTTTTAAAAGACTGTTTCCTACCTAAATGGGAATAAATGCCTCCTTATCCTATGGAGATAATGGGGAGATGGATAGAGCATGCAAGTCTAGAACAGTTGGAACAACTGATGTTTGGGTTGCTCTTAAGTGAGCAATTTTCACTGTATACAACCAAGTTAAGTCAGGGAACTTAATGAGCATTTATATAAAAGGGTAACATCAGAAACTTAAGTGTAGTGTCTGTGACTGTCTGGCTCCTAATTAGCTATGACCACAGCAGTCTTAATATCTACTCTTCAGTGCCAGCTGTTGTTTGTGGAAGCCCAGCATGGCTATTGTTTTGTAGCCCAACCATGGGTTACTGGAGCTACCCTCTCCTTAAGCTGCCACTTACGCTTCTTTGTAAAAAAGCATAAATCCCAGAAGATCACGGAAATCAGGCGGCCAGTACGGCTCCCACTTCAAAAGGATCTTGTCGTGAGATGTTCTAATAGAAGAAAATTTCAGCAATTCATTTTCACCTATAACGAAAGAGAAAGGACAATCGTTTGCTTAATGCTAAAAAAGAGTTTTCTGTTTTTCATTATTTTAGAAGTTTTTGTTCTCCACAGATAAATATGAGAACCTTGGCATTGAGAACTACTCATTAAAAACTTATCTTACTTCCACGTTATTCCTGCCTTAAGCCAGGGGTTGGAATAGATGACCTCCCAAGGTTTCTGCCAGCTTCATTTTTTTTTTTTTTATGACTTTAAGAAAATAAATCCAAGTTTAACTAAAAGCTAGTAAGCAGGAAATCTAAAGGAAATACATTTTTAAATTAATGACAATATATACAGCTGAACCCAGCAACTCGGTTTGCACAGTTTTTGTAGGCACTGCCTTCAGAATGAGTGAATTCTCAGCCTTGCCCGGGAGTAGCACAGTCCCTTCGCAAACAGGAGCGAAGGACAACAAACAGTTGCAGGAGGGTGGAGTTTTGATTCTCTAGGGAAGCATTACGATATGGTACGTCCAAACAGCCCAAGAAGTACAAACTGTGTAGCTCTGATGGGATTTGCCATTCCTGCAGTAGCTGCACAAGGGAGGAAGAACATTCATTTCGCTGCCCCGCATCCAGAACAAACAAGGTGTTGTGCCCTTTTTTTATTTTTTCGTAAACAGGATGCTGCCAATGTGAAAACTAGCGTTGAAACATAAAATCAAACAAAAAGCCAAACATGCTGGCAACGTGTGGTTTCAGGTAGGGGGTGGCATGGAGAACAGCAGAGCAGAGGGGGGTGAAAGCTGGCAAAAAGAAATGCGACCGTCTCCTCCAGCTGCCTTTAACACAAAGCCATCAGCCAGCCTGGGAGCTGCACACAGCCACAAGAGCTGCATTTGAACCCCAAATCCAGTCTCATCCCCAAATGTGGGAAGATCCTGCCAGTGTCTCAGGGGAAGAGACGACCTTTACAGACAGCTAACGCCTTGTGCTGCCTTCACTCTGCCCAAGCTGGGGCTGCGATATCCCGGAGGGTGCGGCTCCATGTATGTTTTTTCACTGGTGCTGCCAGTTTTTAGATAGGTAGTCATTACGTTCCCCACTCCCCACTGTGCTGGCAAGGCTCTATGTGTTGATATGTGGCAAACCAAACCAGGAAACTGATTCAGCTGAAGGATCTTCAGTTTTAAGGTCTGTTCACAAATAGCTACATCGCATAACGAAGGGCAGAATTGGGGAAGGGGATGTTTAAGCAGCATCGCCACCAACTGCAGAGAAACAGTGCTGCCACAGGATGTGCTAAGCAGTATTGCAAGCTAATAAAAGAGCAAGGAACTGAAATCATAATTCAACGAACACTGGGGGCTGCGGTGGCAATACCTGCTTAAACCTTATGTGCCATCTTGCTCTTGATCCTGTGTGATTTAAAACTTTGTGGGGCTACAAAATAAATCCGAGCAGAGCTGAGACACAACAGAAGCTAAGAACAGCAAGCAGAAATGGCTTGCTGTTTTTTACCCCAGAGTACTTCTTCAGTCTGGTTCACTATGCAGCCTTGTAAATTTTCCTGGCATAAACAGGGAACTGGGATTGTGTGTGGCACAGAATGGGAACAAACAGCAGGGTTGGGATGCAATTATGGCATTATTGCTGCCAAAATACCTGTCTGCAAAACTACACCTTCAGTGGCATGATTTTAGTTAGAGCATAAAGCAGCACAGCATGTTTGCTCTTTAGCCATGCTGATACAGGCATTGTGTTATTGTTGTTGTCAAAGGAAGCTACTAGCTTAAAAACCTTTAAAAGGCGTAGCAAAAATTGTTGGAAAAATTTCTCTGACAGTTGCCACAGCAACTCCCTCAGATGGCTCCAGAGATGGGTGAAAATCCTGTTCTTCCACCGTGTTTATTGTGTGGGCATATTGTCACCTCAAGACATGGGGAAAGAAGATTATGACAATTAATCAGGTACTCAGCAGTAACACCAAGTCCCAGTCTGGACGGGGGTTACATTGTGCTACACTCTTCAGAAAGACTCAACAATGCCCTCAACCCTGAAAAGTCTCACAGCTGAGCACACAAAGAGAAAACTGCTGAAAACCAAAGCTGCCAAGGTAGGCTCCTGGCCAGATGCAGCACCCAGGAGTACTTTTACTCATGGCATATTGACAGTATCACTACTGTGTACAAGCAAGCAGCAAGTCACATGCCTGGTGCGTTACCAAAAGGACAAGGACAGTCCCTGGACAAAAAAAAAATAAAAAAAATCATAGGCTAGGCTGAGAGACATTAAGAGCATGAGGTTAGCAAAGACAAAGGGAAAGGAAAATGATGGAAGTCTCAGTGCATTCTAGAACTTTCTTACATGAGGCTTGATCGCCGTTTGTCTTCAGGGCTATGTCGTTTCTTTCCTGACGCCCCTTAGTCCCAGAGATCTCCTCCATCTTGTGGATTTCTGACAAACACAGTTTGGGATTATAATGGAAGAAGAGTTTGCCTCGTGCAATAGTGAGGTTGTGTTTACTCCAGTCCCAGAGCTGACGAAGGTTCTGGTTGTCCAAGGCATAAAACGAATAATTCCTGAAAGCAGAGAATGAAAATGTGGGTTGGGAGGAGATCCACTAAAAGTCCTTCCCCCCTCTCACCCACCCTTACGCACTAATCTAGACACCAAAGAGAAAACAAATGCAAACTATCTTCCCTGGCAGGCCACAAGCCATGGGCAGAGGAATGTTTAAAAATAACGTAGGGATTGTTTATCAATACAAATCACCCTGATAGCACTGGTACTCCTTACACTTCAAAGCATTAAAATATCTTTTGAAAGAACTCACCCAGCTTCTAATGTTTCTCCTCTGATCAGATGTAGTTTACGAAAAAAAGAAAGAGAAACCAAGGCATAAGACCGGCGAATTTTTAGGTAACCTGAGATTTCTTCTATCAAGCCAAGATTCGCTTCTAGCTCAGCTGCTATGTTATCTATGGAGAGAAAAACATCGGTTTTAGTTTTCTGATAGCACGGAGAGAAACACTGATATCAGAGCCCAAGCAGATTACAGGGTACTGCTCTGCATAAATCCAAAAGATCTTACAAAAATCAGTTAGCAAAAAAAAAACAACACCCCAATGACTATGAGAAGAGCCTTTACTTTGCAGTTATTTTTCTGAATCGCTCTCAGATTCAGAGAGCGGTCAAAGCTAAAAAGAAAAGCCCCAGCTCCTGGATGGTGTCATATTCACTGATCTGACACCCAGGGCTCCCTACCCCCTTACTCATGCAGAACTTACTTCCTCCCCGGATATTTATAACTAAGCTTCCATTAACAACCGTGCAGCCACGGAGCTCTTGTGCTGATGTCACCGAATCGATAGTCTTCTCCTTCCCAAAGTCGCAAACCTTTGGACAGGGCCCTGCGCAGGGAGTACAGTGCAGGCTGAAAGACAAGAGAGTCGAGAACACAGATGAGATGCTTCTGCAGAACATACTCTGGGGGCATCTCCAGCAGTTCTCAAAAGCAGAGCAATCGACACAAAGCAAAAGCATCCTGACAATACGCCGTGGGAGTCACTCGCAGTGTGCAGCACAAAGCTCTGAAGAACTCCAAATAACCACTGGTTATTCTTAAAATTGTCGTTTCCATATTTCACACTCTAGTTACTCTGTCCTTTCTATACAACAGAAACCAGAATGAAGCAATTCTGACTATTTTGAGTAGCCCAGTCACCACGATGCTGTACAGTGCTACGCACACCCAGGGCTTCAAGATCAAAAAACCCATGCCCATTCTCCACCCCAAGAGCATTAACCAAAAATGTAATTGATGAGGGGATTACTGGCCATTCATCTGGGAATGCAGTGATTAAGGACTTCATGTAAAGTTGCATTGAAAAAAAAGGCAAGCAAGCATGTGCTTTGTGCTCTGGGGAAATGCTGCTTAAATGGCAGCAAGATGATTGCTTGCCCTGGTCATAACACCACAAGAATGTGTTTCCAACTAGTTCTGAGAAATAAATGCCCTAGGAGAAGCGCAGTGCTGCGAGGTCCTACTGACAGCAGCCTGGAACAAGTAGAGGAGAGAGGAGAGGGCTGCTGTTACCCCAGCAGCACACCAGCTCTGGGGGCTGCTGGTTCATTCTTTCGAACAGCAAAACAGGAAATGGAATAGAAAGTCCTGTTAGAGCGAATTCCCTGAATTTGTTATGTCAGGAGCAAACACATGCGGGCACAAAGCTACCAATATTCATAGGAAATCTGACTCATCACAATATATAATGTTATTGCGGGACAAACAACGAAGTTTTCAGCGATAAACAGCTCAGCAACATAAATTATTTAACTTCTTTGTTGAAAAAGCCTGGGAATAGTCGGAATGGCTGTTCCCTGCTTTGACTCATGCTACAGTTGTTTGTTACATTGTCCATTTATGTCTGGCACAGCTTGAACCTGCTCAACGAAAGTAATTACAGGGACGAGGGACAGATATTCTAAGAATGATCTGATCGAATAGGCTATGCTCTCTTGATTAGACACTATTTTTCCCTATTCTGCTTAAAAACAAAGCTTTCTAGTCTGAGGTCAGCTTTGGAGGGGAAGGTAAGCAGCGCTACTGATGCTTCTCATTCTCCCTTGTCTCACTCGATTACACCAAGACCCTTCCAACCTGAGGACACTCCTTTTCCTTGTCCTCTCCTTCAACCCCCCTCTCCCAATTTTTCCAGACTCGAGAGTAAGAGAAGCAGAATAAACTACTGGCACACCACGGGTAAACCTGTCTGCTTTTAACGGCTTGAATTAGCAAGGTATTAGTTTGCAAATCATATTAAAGTAGACCAGGTAATTATCGCAGACACTCAAGCACCAGGAACTTTTCCTGGCCTTGAGACAGAATACAAACCCTCTATCCAAGAGGAAGAAAAGGACACAAAACACCAGAAAAACACCCGAACTACAGCTCGGTTCCTTTACTTGAGGACGCCTGCACTTACTTGCTGGAATTCATGATGTACCCCGACGGGCATTCGTGAACACATTCGTTGTTGTGGATAACGTGACACCCCGACTCCCTGGCGTTTTTGCATTTGTTGTGCAGCTCCTGGCAGAAGCTGAAGGTCACGCAGCGCCAGCCCTCAAAGTGATAGTAACCGGGCGGGCAGGCGTCCACGCAAGTGCCATCAAGGTAGAAGTTGCGGCACGCCACGCATTTCTCAGGGTTGTTGGGCTCCGTGCAGTCCCCCAGGCATTCGCTGTGACAGCACTGGCCATCGGAGGTGCAGCCTTGCGACTTGCAGGCAGCTGGACAGACTGTGAAGAGAAAAGATAAAAAGAAACTGAGTGTCACAGGACAGCCCAGCGAAGCACGACCACAAAAGCCTGAGCAGCAACCACACTTTGTCCTGCCTGGCTTGGCGACCTTCTTTTCAAACATGCACCCATCAAGCACAGCAGTCTGCCTCATCTCCTCTTTCCAATTACAAACTCCAAATTTTCATAATATCTTTGAAGCATGTTGCCATTCACAGCTCATTAAAGCTCGTCTTCAAAAATAGAAAATCAAGTTTTCCTCTTCTCTCTGCCCAGCACTGGGAGGCTCCCAGGAGTGCTTTGGTGACGCCAACCCTACTCCTGAAGCCCAGAGGCGAGGAGATCCATGCAGTGCAAGCTTTCCAGGCTGGGACAGATACTTCCTTAGTTTAAGAAACTGAATTTCCTATGAAAATGCTGTGAATAATGCATGCCCAACAATACCTTTACATAACCCTTCAGCTTCCTATCTGCGTATCACCAGTTCCCCAGGAGGAAGCTGCTGCCCTGGAGCCAGCACAAGCTCGTCGGCGATTCTCCCAACCAGCCCGAGAAGAAGGGCACCCACAAGTGCTTGAGGTTTTTCTGGCTTGCTTTTTAATTATCCATTACTTAGTGCCTCACAACACTCTTAATGAGCGGTTTGGGGCTTTGAAATGGAAAGCAAGCGGCAGCAGAGCTCAGGGCAAAACACCGTGACTAACGCTGACCCAGGAGCTGGAGGGGACGTGGAGCAAACCGAGGGAAGCGTGGTCCTGGCACCTCGCTGACTGCTCAGCACCTTCGCCCTTGGTCTCACTGCTCACACGAGGCTGAACCAACTGCACCCAAGAGCTTAATCCGGAGCAAGCACGAAAGCCAAGTGCAGCTTTGATGCTGCCATTTAAACCACAGGAGAGAGAATTTGAGAGCAAGGGAATGGGGACACAGGCCTGGATTTAACTGCATGGCAGCACAGAGCCTCTGACCCCAAATTCCCCCGAGCTTTCTGTCCACGGAGAATATGCAGTCTAGAAAGAAATCCACCTGCAGCAGGAGGGAGGAGGCATTGCCACGAGCTGCTGCCCACCCCTCCAGCCTCCCGATGGAGGCTTTTCCACCCCAGTCTTCTCCCCAGTCAGGATGCTAAAAGCAGTGAAACCAAGAGCCCCTGGGTCAGAAAAGTGCATGCCTCTTTATCCTCTTACCTCCATTGAAATGACGCCAGGTTCATGGCAATTCTCACAAGAGCTTAGTACCAGAAAAGAGCAGAGAGGGAACAATATAAAATACAACCCAAATTAGGATTTGTATGTGTTTTTTTTTGTTGGAAGTGGCTATGACTGCATTTCAGCACAGCAACGCTGTCCAACCCTGGGCAACGCCAGCTCGTCGCTTGCCCCACAGCTTCCAGGAGGGACAGTTTCTAAAATGAATGGGTCGAGGCAAAAACCCAAACCCTACGGAAGGTGACAGCACGAGGAACGATACGATCAGGCACGCTTACTCTGCCACTCACACAGCCAAACCCTGCTGCCTGATGTCTCCAGTCCAGGGTACTGACAGCCCCGAAACACGCCTGCTAACTGCACTAGCGATGGACAAAGCGAAGATTTTCACCTTAGGCAACGTTAAGTGAACTGCATGATACCAAAAAAAAAAAAAAAATCAGAGAAACAATCCGCAAAAATAAGGCAGATAAAAGTACAGAAACTGCCCCTCTCTCCTACAGAGCAAAACAAAAAAGCCACGACGGTTGGCCTAAGGAGTTCATTTTTCTTGATATTCAGCGTTGGAGCAGGAGGGGCTTTTCTTGGGGATGTTCCAGGCAGACTGATGTACAGAGGCTAAAATGTTATTTTTAACTTCTGGCTAACGCGCGAGCAGCCCAGCAGCAGAATGTGGTTTAGTTTTAGTCAACCAAAGGAGCAGCATGCAGGATCCATGGTACAGCGTGCTACCAGTGTTTTTACCATCAACTCACCAGCTGTGGTTAGGAAGAAAAAAACCCCTCTGCTGTGCTCAGCCCCTGCTAAGGGATTGCAGAAGTGTGCTAAAGGAGTTAATGCCCTTCTTGGAAGCAGCAGCAGGCGCTGCGGTAGGCGGGATAGCGAAGATGAGCAACCTCTGGTTTGTTCCAGCCTGACAAATCCTTTGAAAAATATGAAATAGCTGAAGTTGAAACTCTCTCCTAAGGTCAATTTGACCTCGTAAATATCTGACTGCTCCCACATCAGTCACCCACTGCAGGTATCTTCTCCGGGCGTCCCCCAGGATTTGCCCATCAATATGAAACACCGGCGAGTGTTTCAAAGCCATTTTCATTTCCCCTGACAAAGTTTTTGCCCTTTTCTGGGTCTCACTTTGTGAACCCATCGCCTCAAAATGCTCTGAAACAACTGACTGCAATTGCAGCAGGTAAATGGAAGCACCTTGCAGATGACGCCTCGTATTAGAGGAAATACAAAGCGCGGTGCTTGTTTTAAAAACCCGGGTCCACGTCCTGCACCAGGCCACAGATGGAGCGCAGTCTAGCAACAGATGTCGTGGCTGCAGTTTATTAGAAACATTGGCAACAGAAGGACGCAGACAGAAAATTCCAGAATTGAGTCCAAAGCACTATCAAACTTACTGATTCCAGCCTAAAATGTCAAGGTTTTCAGCAGCGCTCACTGCCGTCCAGGAGGCAAAGGGCTAGCCCCGAGGGCTGCTCCAGGCTTAGGGACTTCAGAGCTTAAAATACGAAGAAATTTGTTTAATAAGGAGTCAGGGGAGCAGACAGGTAGCTTGGAGAAGCTGGCCCTCGTGCCAACCCCCCAGTGACACATGGCACCTCCTTTACGTTACGCCACACAAGAGCTTTTACTGGTAATGGAAACTAATCTTCAAAGTCCCGTGCTTGTTTACACATCTTAATCTCAGCTGCAAATATTCACAGGGCAGAAACTGTTTGAATTCTCAACTCTAAAGGTTTGAGGAGGATACAATTAAGCTATTTTTAAATTGTTCTTAACGTTTCTCTCTCCCGCTCTAAGAGCTTTTGATGTCTAAAAGACAACTCGAAGAAAGCAGAGCAGCCAAGGCAACGCTTTTTTTTTTCCCCCTGCACTAAGCCTCAGGACAATAAGTTGTCAATCACCATTTTGTGCAAACCCTCGCTATGGAAGATCCTGAACAGATGCCATTCTGACTTTATCAAAGTATGCGTGCTAGAAGGTGCTTCATTTTCTAAGCACCTGAAAATCAGGCAGAAAGCTCTCCAGCATACCTTCACTGCCACTTGGAAGTGCTACCAGAGCACCCAGGCTATGTGACTCCCAACGGGTCAGGCAGGGTCTTTTTTTCCTCCTGGGTTACCCTTACAGAGCAGGAGAGCACCAAATAGGGGGGTGCAGACCAGGGCCATCTCATTACCCCTCTGTCATCGAGGTTTGTAGACTCCAGCAGCTGACGTGGCCCACAAAAAGGCCCTGCTTTACAACGAGACCATGCTTTGGGGACGATGGTGGCGTTCAGGAGGTCCCAGGAGGCACTGCCTGAGCTCATACGTAGCTCCTGCACAGCCCCTGGTCCATGCTGCAGGAATTGATTTTTTGGGGAACAAATTGGATGTTTTTTGGATGCCTTCCTCTCTCGATAGGAAAAAGAGTCAATTCTCTTCATTCAGGAAGAAGTATTTCTGCACCGGTGCCAGAGCAAAGCTGCTCAGCACAATCACCCAGACCTCTTCATCAGTAGATTTAAGAATGGGGCTTTTAAATTCCCCATCCGAAGATGATAAACTGTATGACATGTAATGAATCTGCCCTGGATGGGGGGAGAAACAGAGCTGACACAGAGGTTCAAACCTGTTGGTCCAGGGGTGAATAAATATTTAACTAGCTAGCTAGGGTGGCTCCAGAGACTTGGGAAACAATGCATTTTACAAACCTTTCTGATTAGAGATTCAAACTGACATTTCTTCGTGCAGCTGAGGCCCAGCTGGGGGGGACAAAAGGCAGCAGAGTCAGCGCAAAGGAATTCCTACCTCCGTGGGTCCCTCCTGCCTTTCACCACTTCCCGGGGCTGCAGGTGGAAACAAAAATGCACGGAAACTGCAAACACATTCCCCAGCTGACACCAGTACCCAGAAGATCCCCATTTAACAGGAAAGTCAATTAAGCACTAAGCCGCCCAGCTAATGAGCACAATTTGAATATCAAAGTGTGATTGAAAACGTTTGTCTCAGGTCTCGTTTTTGCTTCCTGCTAACAAAACAATAGCAAGAGAGTTGTCAGGAAAAGAAAATAAAAATCACCCTGGGGAGGTTTTGCTCTCCCTTTGGGCCCCCTGCCGCTCGAGGGGTTTGTGTTGCTGCGTTCTGGGCGAGCTGAGTGCTCAGAGAGAGGGTGGGTTGGGCGTGATGAGGGGGGGTTATTCAAACAGAGGGGGCTTGGGTGTAATAAGAGATATGCGTCATGAATAAGTCCTAAGTCCCCTGTAAAAACATCGTGTGATGCTCCTGGATGCTTGCGGTGCTGACTGGTCCCGAATGGACGGGACTTTTCCCTGCAAGCTGCTCCCCTTGGCCAGCAGCAGCAGGGCGCAGACCCCTCCTCACGGCCCCCCAGGTCCCTTTCTGCTGCCCCAGCTCCTTCCACCACCACCGAGCAGCTCCTGATCCGCACGAGTCCAGGTCAGGAAGCCAGCCCGGCAGCAGCAGCACCGCCCGCGGCCACAGCCAATGCGTTCACTGCCCAGATAGGAGGCATCCAGGCTCTGGGCAGGAGGCATCCAGGCTCCAGCCGCTTGCCCCCCAAGCCCGCAGCGTTGGGAACCCCAAGGCGGCGCGAAGCCGGAGCTGACGCCGCTTAAAATGGCTTGGTTTGGCTGCGAGGAGCATAGCTGGATGCCAGCGCTGAGGCCGGTGTAATGCTACACGCAGGCGTGTGTGACGCGGGGTAGCGGAGCTCTCCCTCGCCCTGTTTTCTCTTACTGTAAGCTGCCGTAGTATCCGTCGTAAATTTAGCCAAGTAATCCCC